TCGCACGGCAGAAACAAGGAAACTGTAGTTCCGTTTCTCGGTTCCTTCATCAGCTCTATGATACTCATTCATGTCATGTTGGATGGCCTTACAATTCTTCACTTGTTTGTAGAAGAGTGTCTCCAATACACTTACATCAGGAGTCTGAACGATACCAGCCAACACTTGATCCCAGTTCGAAATGAAAGACTTCAAATTCTCCCCACGCAATTGGACACTGAACAAATCTTGAAGGGCATAGGTTGCTCCGTGCTTGATGTTGGTACTGAAGTGGTCATGCAACATGAACAACACTTGTCTCCCCCTTACGATCCGTCCAGCAGTGGCTTCAGTCTCTTTGAAGGTATCTACCTTACGGGCGAAGTCACCAGTGATGACGTTCGTGAGTGCAGAAAGTAACTTTGCATCAAGTGTCGCAAACGGCGCAACCTTCCGGAGCGCTTCAAGAGTCTGTTCTTCTTTCCAAGAATCACTAACCCACTTGAAAGCACTGTCGGGATCGGTTGATGCTGCTACAACTGCTTCTCTGGTCTTAATTCTCCAATTACGATAGGTTTCTGCCAATGGGAATGCTGGGATTTTGATAGTGTCAGCTTCCTTGACTTTGGGTTTGTCATCATGCCTTGGATCAATGTAACCACCAAGAAATTTGATCATTCTTCGCCTGAACTTCTCATCATCATCATCATCGGGATCATCATCACCGTCATCACCGCCGTCAGGAGGATTGGGACCAGCCCTATTCTTTCTGGGCACCTTACGGTTCTTATCCCCTTCGGGTTTATCCATAGGATCAGGTGGTGATGGTGGTCCACCTCCCCCGTTTCCTCCGTTGCCATCCCCTGGATCGTCCCCATCAGGTGCATCATCGCCCCCCGGCTCGAAGTACTCCATATCTTCAGGGCCTAGTTCGGTCGGGGTGTACAGATTGGTCGGTGCAGGGGAGTTGATCTTATCTGTGGGATGGTTATCACGGCGTCGAGTGGTGGCCTCTCCTCCCGAAGGGCGTTCATCCATGGACGACCTTGCAATGTCCGATTCCTTCTTCACATGAATTGGAGCTTGATATGATGGATCATGATAAATGATTTCAATACCATCCTTTTCATAAGTCTCAGTACCAGGTGAAGTAAAGTTAATCGGTGTTCTTGGAATAGGAGGTCGGGCAACACTCGTCGGAGGTGCTGCGGGTGCAGCCTTGCGGGTCGGTGGAACAAACTCAAAACTTGGGATTTCCGCTGATGCATGAGTTCCGGCTGTGATGGTCATGGCGGCAGTTTCAACGATCGGGCTTGGACGAACCTGAGCAAATTGGGAATCGAGCATACTTTGCAGTTTCAGATTATGTTGCATCTGGGCTTGTACCATGTGTTCAAGCTGTGCAACGCGCTCATTCTGAACCCTTCTCTCTTCCTCAGCTGCTCTTTTCAACTCAAGGATCTCTTGCTCCTTACTTGATAGTGATTGTCGATGGTTAGCATCAATGACACGTTGATATGCCTGAATTTTCTCATTCATCTGAGCTTCACGGAACCTTACGTGTTCATGCGCCTCATGCTGTAAGTTCTCTTTATATTGGGCACCCGCATTTAAAAGTTCTTGTTCTTTGATTCTGATAGCATCTAGGGCCCTCTGACTTTCAATGCCCTCGCGGACTCGCAAAGCTTCCTTCAATTCCTCAGTCTTGGCCGCGTGGACGGCTTCGGCCTGGGCTTCGGTGTGAGCCAACACCTCACGATGACGGAGCTCGGCCGCTGTTTCCACAAGGCTTGTCATTGCAGGATCATGTGAATGGACATGCAAGTTCTGCTCGACAAAATTCACTTGAGGATTATCCATTTGCACATTGTGATGGAAAGTGTTATGAACATTCATTTGGTTCAACTGGCGAGTCGGCGGCCCACCCTCCCGAGCGGCTTGGGGAACATAACCACGGTGGTTGAAACCCACATGGGAAGGCACGATTGCGTTACCCATGGGTGGGAGGTGGCGACGTTCCCTTAAGCTTCGTGACTTATCGGAAGATGGTGGGGTGCTTATATCAAAATTAAATGGGGTGTTACTTATAGGCAGGTTGCCGGGATTCGCCATGGCTGCGTCAGAGGATGAACGGGTCCCTACGCCCTCGGTGGAAGTTCCCGAGGGGGCCGACATGCCTACAAGAGAAACTAGCTTACGGCTGATAACCTGTTTTACAGGTAAATCAACCTGAAAGACACAGCAATCACGCTTGTTTTGCTTGAGCCATACACACGAGGTAAGTAATGAATTATATTAGTATATACAGTGATATGTACAAGAAACAGATCTATCGATCTTTCTATCGACCTATCGATCTATCTATCTAACTAACTATCTACCTATCCATCTATCCATCTATCCATCTATCCATCTATCCATCTTTCCATCCATCCATCCATCCATCTATCTATCTGTTTGTCTGCCTGTCTGTCTAACTGCAAGCTTCAAAACGCAGCAATTCTGCGAGACTTCTTCAATTTTTGAACTTGACAATATCAAAAACGAAACAATTCTGCGAGACTTCCTCATTTCTCGAGGTTGACAACATCAAAAACGAAGCAATTCTGCGAGACTTCCTTCAAAAATGGAAAGTTGAGTGCAGAGCTGACAGCCTCTTACCAATGTGTTTTGCGATTTTTCCACTTCACCTGTCTAAAGTATTGCGCCAGCCACGAAAAAGTGAGGCCAGGTCATACGAAGTGCTGCACCTGACACGCAACATCATCTTCCCAAAACTGAAGATCTGATGCTCCAAAATGCAACCTCTCTCAGGAAATCAGCGCCCGGACCTCCTAGCATCTCTAATAAGTTTGCTCACTTTTGACATGCCACGCGACACGATATCTGAAGCTCCAAAAGTGGTCCAAACATGTCGTGTTTTTAACATTTTGACTTCGAAATGTGCTCCGCGCCACGACGGCGTGCACTTTTTCGGCATGTCGACTTCCAAAAGTGGTCCGAACATGTGGCGTTTTTAACCTTGTGACTTCGAAACGTGCTTCGCGCCACAACTGCGTGCACTGTTTCGAGGTGTCAACTTCCAAAAGTGGTCCGACACTGAAGTGCTTTGTGCATTTTGACTTCGAAATGTGCTTGGCGCCACAACGGTGTGCACTTTTTCGACATCTCAACTTCCAAAAGTGCTCCGAGCATGGTGTGCTTTGTACATTTTGACTTCGAAATGTGCTTCGCGCCACAACGGCGTGCAATTTTTCATCTCTCATCTGGCCACATGGCTCCGCACCTGCCGCTTTAGCGAGCCTACTTTTCGACCCTCCGGAGCCACAAATCATTGGAAAAACACTGTGTTCCGCGACTTTCCTACCTTTTCGCGCACCTGGATCTTCTTTCTTAAGAGACTTTCTCTTTTTTGATATTCTTTCTTCTTCTCTTCTCTTCGCTGACTCTTCCCATCTCTGCTTTTCATCTGTGCATATTGTCGGAAGTTTGACTTCTAAACTTCCTTCGACAACTACAACTACACTACATTACACTACACTACGCTAACTACATTACATTACATTATACACTACAGTCCCTACACTACATTACACTACACTACACTAATTACACTACACCAGACTACGCTACATCACACTCAGATAGATAGATAGATAGATAGACAGATAGATAGATAGACAGATAGATAGATTAATTGATAGATAGATAGAAAGAAAGATAGATAATTAGATAGATAGATCGATCGATCGATCGATAGATCGATAGATCGATAGATACATAGGTAGATAGATAGGTAGGTAGGTAGATAGCCAGAGAAAGAGAGAGAAAGAGAGGAGACATCAATCACCTTTCGATCCATCAGTGGCTTCGCTCTGCCATCCGTGAATCACAACAACCAATCTCTCCTATAGGTTTCCTATTTTTGAAACTTCCGCCACCGCCTTGTGCGGTACTACTGGTACACTACAGTCACTACACTACATTACACTACACTACACTACACTAATTACACTACACCACACTACGCTACATCACACTCACTAAGACTACAGCTACAACTACACTACTTTACACTACTACACTACGTCACATTACACTACACCCATTCCACCACACCACAACTATATCTGCAACTTCACTACGCTGATTACATTACACACAACTACAACTCCACTACACTACTACTCCTCCTCCTACTACTACTACCACCATTACCACTACCACTACCACTACCACTACCACTACCACTACCACTACTACTACGACGACGACGACTACTACGACTACGACTACGACTACGACTACGACGACTACTACCACTATTATTTTTATTACTACTACTACTACTACTACTGCTACTGCTACTGCTACTGCTACTGCTACTGCTACTGCTACTGCTACTGCTACTGCTGCTGCTGCTCCTACTACTACTACTACTACTACTACCACTACTAGTACTCGTACTAGTATTACTAATACATACTAATACTACAGTACTACAGTACTACCACTACTACTACCACTACCAGTACCACTACCACTACCAACTACTACTACCACTAACACTACCACTTTCACTACCACTGCCACCACACTACCTCTACTACTATAGTGCTACTACCATTACTACTACCACTACCACTACCACTACCACTACCACTAGTACTGCTACTACTACTACTGCTACTACTGCTACTACTGCTACTACTGCTACTACTGCTACTGCTACTACTACAGCTACACTACACCACACTACATCCAGCAGTTGTGGCTGCAACCACTGCAACCACTCCAGAAAACACAACTCCAACCACCTTTCGGTCCATCAGTGGATTCGCTCTGCCATGCATGCATCACAACAACTCACCTCTGGGGGTGTGTCCTATCCTTGAAACTTCCGCCACCGCCTTGTGCGGTACTAGTGGTATCCATAATATTTTAAGCATTAAGCATCCCTACAAATCTCACAGGCTAGTTGGAATTTTTGGATGCTCCTCCACCCTGTGGGTGTGCCGTGCCTCCACCTTGGATGGCGTCTCGCTGACCGCGCGCCGCGCGGACACGCGAACTGGGCTGTTGCTATGGCTGCTGGTACGCGGTGCCGGGGACTCAGTGCAGCGATTGACCAAGAGAGGACCTAGAAATCAAAACTGGATAAATCCAAATGATGGGGAACATATGGGACTATATATCATACCATGATTCATGATGATCACTGATATATGATATATCTGAAACACCAGGCAATTGCTGAGCTAAGCACCGCAGACACCCTTGCCACGGCTTGGATCGTAGGAGTCTTGGGATCCACCCGAGTGCCTCGCCATTGGTGCCAGCCACATGTGTCTGCGTACGGCATCAAATCTGGAGGGAACGAGGTAGCCAGTTCTTAAGCAATCTGCAACTCGGCTTGTAACGGTGTCAGATCTGAATTGTAAGGGTGTCAAATGGTTCATAAGCTCACTGCTCACTGCACACAATCGGACCCGGCCAATCAAACAAATGTGAAACAATAAAACAACATGTTCCCTGCCTCTATCCGGGAAAACGCATGCCCCACCCTCTAAATACACACAATAGGTAATTAATAAATGATAGCTTGAAATTCCATCCATACTCCAGCGACTGAAGCTGTAGATTTCGAATCACATGGCCGGATTTTGGTGCTTTCCAGCTGCAATGACAAGAATCACACTTAGAAAACCAACTTCGAAAGCCTGAAATATGTTGAAACAAAACATTTCCGTGCCGGGCCCTGCCTACAACACGTCTCACCGTCGCAGTCGACACCTCTGAAGGTGCTGCTGTGGAGGACATGGAGGGCGGCTGCAGCACGGCATCGGCTGCAGCCTGCGCTGTGGCGCGCAGCAACGTCTGAGCTGCGCCGACGGTGTCCATGTTGTCGTTGCGGCGCACCACGCGAACGCTGGTGCTGGGTTCCCGGGACCTGGCAGCACATGGGCACGGTTTGGGGGGCCAAGCAGCCTAGCCGGAGCTGGTCCGCAGCTGGGGAGTTGATGAGTTCTTTCCATTCCTGGATGGTATTTTAGAGTTTCTTGAGATTTACCTATGGAAGATGATGGAAGTTGGTTTTACTTTGTTGGATGATGTTGGGTGTCCCACATGGCTACCTGTTCCCGCTACATGTCAGTTGGAATTGCAGCACCTGGATCGCCTTGATTGTGTGTGTACAGGTACAGGTATCTCTCCTCATCCCAAAGCACCAGGACAAGCTCAACTCAGAAGAGTGGAAAAAGCTGAACATTCATCCATGAGCATCCATGAGCATCCATGAGCATCCATGTCCTCATGGTTTCTGTAGAATGCCGAAACATGTGGAAACTCCAAACGTTGAATTGTTCAAAGTCTGAATTGTTGGAAAGCAGGTCTTGGTATGTCTTGGTATGTCTTGGTATGTCTTGGTATCTTGCAAGCAGCGGCTCTCTTTTCAAAGAGGCTGTAGGTCTTCAAGGAAGTTTGGTCCTTCCGTGAAACACTGCAAACAGTCGGCATGCCACACAGGGTTTGCTGGAGAAGCATGGTTATCCAAAGAACTGCCGAGGTCGATTCAAGGCAGATTTGCCATCATTCTATTGGCCTCTTCAACTTGCCGTTTTCGCTGGTGATAAAGCCTTTGTAAAGCAGTGCCTTGCAGGGGCGAGCATATTGCGTGTTTCAAAAAGAGGCTCGCAATTAACTTGAAGCTAATTTCTAAAAAGAAAAAAGGAAAAACAAAAACTGAAAACCATCTCTGCCTTGCAAATCATCAATCGGATATGATGCGTAGAAGCAATGAGGACAAACTCCTCCTCGGTCTCCTTGAAGACTTCTTCCCACAGACCCGGCTTGTTCGCTTTGCGTGGGACGATGCCTGCGACATTCTTCTCAGACGCGATTTGTGCGCCCTCATCACTCTCGAAGTCCATGACCGGTGAAAACCCGTCCACAGCGATGTTAATGAGGTGCTCGCGGGCAATGTCCTCACAAAAGAACAACTTAGAAGCAATAAATGCAAACAGTATTGGTCGGAACAAAATGAGACAAAACTGTTCTCCGTCCTTGACCAAACAAGTCCCAATGCCAGGCACATCCACAAAGCCCAGAGGGTAGAACTGCTGGCCGTTCATCCTGAAGTTGCGAAGAGCGTTCATTGCCAAGTTGATAGAGCCACCACAAACTGACAACAGGAGGGGGGCAAGGCGCTCTCCCAGCTGCCACTTCTCGACGAACAACTTATACATGAAGCGTGGGGGCACTTCTGGGGCAATGATGACATTTTCAATGTCCAGCACGTTTAAGCCTGCTAATGCCAACTTGTAGGGGTAGCCATGCTCACTGGAAATGAGGATGACCGAAGCCAGTTTGCTCTGCTTCGTAATCTTGGTAATCTGCGCCAGCGCTGCCTTGGCAGTTTCCATCTTCTCCGCATTGTCATTTGCGGGCAACGCCAGGTTTGCTTCATCAATGATGATGGTGACGCCATCACCCTTCAACTCAGAGATGACTTCTGCGAGGGTCGCTTCCTTTTCCTTGGTCTTCATGTCCTTGAGTGCTAAAGACACACCGAAGACTGGGTTTGGTTGGATGTTTGCCGTGAGAGGAAGCAAGGCCTTGATTGTATTCCAGACTTTCTTCAAAAACGATTGATCTTTGGAAGCCTTGATTGCATTCCAGACTTTCTTCAAAAGCGATTGATCTTTGGAAGCCTCTGTCAAAACGGCTTCGAAATAATCCTTGCTCGGATAGTCTCGCATGTCTGATAACAAGACCATGCGATTTGTTGTCTTCTCTTTCCTCATCTTTCTCACCAGCCTCTCAACTATGGTGCTCTTGCCCACACTTTTGCCACCGAGAATGAGTGTGAGCACATTGGTGCGAATGGCAATCTGAATAGCCTTGATAAACTCCTCACGGTCCTCAATCTCATCAGACACACAAAACTTGTCCGCCAATTCAAGCACATTCTCCAAGTAGTCCTCCACGTTCATATTTTTCTCCTTAGCATCTTCTTGAGCCGCTTGCATGAACAGGGAACTGTTCTTCATAGCCTTGATAAAGTCAGCATCCAAGTGTCGCTGGTAGTAGTCGGACTTCATGTCTCCTACCAAGCCATAAGGACACCATCCTCCTTCCTCCGCCTTGCAGGGCAAGCATTCAAAAGCTGGTTCTATGATGATTTATGCAACTCTTATTGAACACTTCACTTTTTTGACCACTCAGCCCAGCCTTGACCTGCGCGTGCCTGATTGAACCAGACAACAGGACTCGATGGGCATTCTGTGGGTCAATGAAGGCCCTTGTCCAAGACCACACCCCCAGTGCCAGCCCAATGACCAGTTTCCATGTCTTGGAACGGCGAGGCATGGGACTCTAAAGCAAAGTGAAAACTCCGTTTGTGAGCATAAGCAGGAAGTGCATTGCTATGCATTGCTATGCACTGTTCTATCCTTTAAAAAAAATGTTGGCAGTCTGGAAAATCGGTCACCGTTCCTCACACTGACATTCTGGACGTACCGCTGGAGCAAAAATATCAGGTATCCATCGAAGCAGACCAACATAACAACAAAATGAGAAAAATAATGAACAAGGTAGGGGAGTGAAGGTTAGCAAGAAAACGAACAGAAACCCCACCTCGAAAGACATCAGCAGCAAGGAACAAACATTGAACCTCAACATAAAATCATAACAACCTCAACAAACACCCCAAACACAATAAACCTAAGATAATCAACAAGGTAAGGATGAACACTTTTTAACAAATTAGCCTTCAAATCACCCCTATAAAAATCATCAACAGCAAGGAACATACATTAGCACCCAACATAAAAACATAACAGGCAACTTACAAACAATTTTGCCCCAGAATCCCCCTTTTACCATTTTTTTAGAGGGGGGCGAGAGGAGGACGGAAGGTCAGAGGGCTTTTGGATCGGGGGGCGAAAGGGGGCGAGAGGCACAATTAGATTCATTGGTATCAAATCAACCAGCCCCCCTTGAACCATTACCTTCATTGGTATCAAATCAACCAGCGCCGCTTGAACAATTACATTCATTGCTATCAAATCAACCAGCCCCCCTTGAACAATTACATTCATTGGTATCAAATCAACCAGCCCCCCTTGAACCATTACATTCATTGGTATCAAATCAACCAGCCCCCCTTGAACCATTACATTCATTGGTATCAAATCAACCAGCCCCCTTGAACCATGACATTCATTGGTATCAAATCATCCAGCCCCCCTTGAACCATTACATTCATTGGTATCAAATCAACCAGCCCCCCTTGAACCATTACATTCATTGGTATCAAATCAACCAGCCCCCCTTGAACCATTACATTCATTGGTATCAAATCAACCAGCCCCCCTTGAACCATTACATTCATTGGTATCAAATCAACCAGCCCCCCTTGAACCATTACATTCATTGGTATCAAATCAACCAGCCCCCCTTGAACAATACATTCATTGTATCAAATCAACCAGCCCCCCTTGAACAATTACATTCATTGCTATCAAATCAACCAGCCCCCCTTGAACAATTACATTCATTGCTATCAAATCAACCAGCCCCCCTGGCACAATTACATTCATTGCTAGCAAATCAACCAGCCCCCATTGAACAATTACATTCATTACATTGCTATCAAATCAACCAGCCCCCCTTGAACCATTACATTCATTGGTATCAAATCAACCAGCCCCCCTTGAACCATTACATTCATTGGTATCAAATCAACCAGCCCCCCTTGAACAATTACATTCATTGCTATCAAATCAACCAGCCCCCCTTGAACAATTACATTCATTGCTATCAAATCAACCAGCCCCCCTTGCACAATTACATTCATTGGTATCAAATCAACCAGCCCCCCTTGAACAATTACATTCATTGGTATCAAATCAACCAGCCCCCCTTGAACAATTACATTCATTGCTATCAAATCAACCAGCCCCCCTTGAACAATTACATTCATTGGTATCAAATCAACCAGCCCCCCTTGAACCATTACATTCATTGGTATGGATCGGGGGGTGAGAGGGGGCGAGAGAGGGTGGGTGGAGGCGAAGAGGGGGGCGAGAGGGGGCCAGAGGGTCAGAGCAAATTCTAACATGGACGGGGGGCGAGAGGGGGCGAGAGAAGGTGGAAGGGGGCGAGAGGGGGGCGAGAGGGGGACGGAAGGGGTGAATGGGAGCCACAGAGAGGGACTAGTGACTAGCGTGGGGGCCAGAAGGGGGCGAGAGAGGTGCCCACACAAGAGGGCAGGAGGAGGCCAGACGCACGACACAATGAATGACGTCAGTTGTCACAGTGAACCACAGTCCAAATGTAGACGTCAGAGCCGCGGCGGCAGTGACATCGATTGCGCCCAAGCGCGCCACCAGAAAGGCCGGTGCCATGTGCGGCGAGAGGGGGGCAAGAGGGGGCGAGAGGGGGCGAGAGGGGGGCGAGAGGGTGGCGAGAGGGGGCCAAGAGGGGGGCGGCGGGGGAGACGGGGGGGCAGAGGGGGCGAGAGGGGCAAAGGGGGCGGAGAGTGGGCGAGAAGGGGTGCGAGAAGGGGGAGACGGGGGGGGCGAAGACGGGGCCGAGACGGAGGCGAGAGCGGCGAGAGGGGAGAGGGGGCGTGAGGGGGGGGGGGTGGGGGCGGAGGAGGGGGGACTAAGGGCGGAGGGGGTGACTCTCTTCGTATTTTCGCTCTTTTTTTCTCTTCTTGTTTTCCTCTCCTTTTATTCTCTCTTTTTGTCTCTCTTTTTTCCTATCTTTTTCTCTTCTTATTTTTGCTAATCTTTTTCTCTCTCTTTTCTCTCGTTTTTTCTCTCCTTTGTTCTCTTTTTTTCTTGAACATTTTGTTCTCAATCTCTTTTTTGGGCGAGAGTGGGGGCGAGGAGGGGGGTGAGAGAGGGGTGGGCGGGGGCGATAGGGGGCGAGAGGGGGGGTTTTTCCCACGATTTGGGGGGGTGAAACGAGGCGTCGCCCGTCATGCCACCCCTCTTCCCCACATCTCCATACCCGCCATGTAGATGATTTGAATATTAAATAATATATTGTATTATATTATGTTATATTTTATTCTATTATATTATAAGTTATTTATATACATACATACATATATATATATACATATAAATATAAATATATATATATAAATATAAATATAAATATATAGATATATATATATATATGATCACTACCCTTTTAAGATAGGGATGATAGGGGGACGTACCTACATGTAAGCTACAAATTAGACGTATTTCAGCGGCTGGTAATAATTGTTAACTTTCATTTGTTTTTCAACTTACGTTCTAATTGCAAACTTTCATTTTAGTAGGTCCACCCTTTTTTCCGCTAAGTCTGAAAAAAACGCAGGGAAACGTTCAAAATGTAAGCTTGCATTTTTAAAAAAAATGTGAGAAGGTTTAAAAAAACAAGTAGAACGATAGTCTAAAGGTCTGCAAATTAGAAAATGTAAACTAAAAGTTTGTAGGACCCCGATTGCTTGGTATTTCCAATACATTCTACACTTTTTCTACACGTTTTTGATTATGTCCACATGTAACATGGAGGTATAGGAGGTATATTATTCCTTGCAAATTACTGGAAAATCCTTGGACTTCAAAAAAATGTGTTGAAATGTGTTGAAGGTCTTCAAATTTACCTCCTACCTATGGGAAAACAATGGAATACAAATAAAGATCTCAAATGGACCTCAAAAGGACCTCAAATGAACCTTTATGGGGTCCCCATGGTAAACCCCCTTTATGTACCTACATGATCGAACTTAAACATCCTTCTGCAGCTGTGGACCCGAGTCTTACCAGTAGTGCGGCTGTGTCAGTGGAACCTCGGCAGCTTGTCGCAACGCCATGGACAATCTTCTTTGTGGACCTCCTGGTCTTACTATTTCTGATTCTACCCGTGCCCGTGTGGCTTCCCGCGTCAGTGGTGGGATTTGCGGTTGGATTGGGATGATTGGCAGATGCCTCCGTGGCAATCTCAAGGAGTTGTTTCCACTAGCGATGATGCCTGGTGTGGATGGATTTCGGGCGGAGATCCAGCTGACATGGGACGAATTTTCTAGGATGAGACACAGTTTGATTGACTCGCTGCACCTTTTGCTATTCACTCTGTTTGGTGCCGGCTTGCTTCCGCTACCAGCGGCAAACTGCCAGTCCTTGCTGAGTTTGGAAGCTCACATCTTTGCAAATTGGCACTTGCAGTCCTGGAGTTGTTTTCCTGTTGGCTTGCATCACTTGCTTGTTGTTCGTTGTGGGCCCTTAGCAACCTTCAGTGGCAAAAGGCGAAGGGGCTTTGAACCTAACATTTCGGGATGCGGCAGGCTGCTTGGGAGATCGTGCTACGGATGGCTTGGCTCCGGGCAAACTTTCCAATCCCAAACGAGAACAAGGAGTAAAGATGTGCTTGTGACTTCTGGTGTGGCTCAGGGCATAAAGCAAAGATGCAACGTTGCGCGGTGACTCAATGGCCCACCCGCTGTCTGCTTCTTGCCAAAAGTTTGATCGGTTTGAATCCAATGGCTGCGTTTTTCTATGTGCCGGGCATGCACAAAGTGTCAGGTGCTTGCAGAGACGGATTTGCAGGTGATCGGTTTCTGTTTTGATTTTGTTGGTCCAGTGTCTAGTGAACAACCCTAGCACACTGTATTGATCTTGTCCATGACATACACTGTCTGAACAGATGGCACAATCTGCTGTCAAAGTTAATGTTCCCGCGTTTAGCGAACCTTGTTGGAAGTTAGGTGGAGGCAATCTTCTCCACCTGTCTGGTGATGTCTGCTTCGCCGGCCCTTGGCCTTGTTTTAGCCAATTCGGTTCTGACCATCTGCGTCCGAGCCAATTGACGTGGAGACCCCTCCGCAGCGCGCAATAAACATCCTTCTGCCACGGTTCCTATCTAGCCCCCCATGACCCTCCAACCATAATAATCATAATAAAATTTATAACAACCTCGACATGTGTCATATTGATTCTGAAAGGAATTATTCTGCAAGGAACTATGGACCTCAGACATAGGTTGATTACATCCCCACAAAGACACCTCACAAAAAAATTACAAACTGCTGGCGGACATTTTCTATTACGGTGCTTGTTTTTGGACCTAGGAGGGGTCTAACATACAAATAGCCGTCCCCCTGGGATTTTTTCCCGAGGGGGTCAAAACTGTAGCTTAAATTTGTGTACGTCTCCCTTTCTTACACCCCACGAAAAGGGTGGTGATATGTGGTGATTATATATGGGAAACATCTAGAGTCTATTGAAGTGGCCATTTATGGCCATGGTTATGGCCATGGGAGGCCAACACGTCGAAAATCTCTAAACCAAATCTCCTGGAATGCTTCCCGGCAGGAGGATTTCCGCTGGTCTCTCGACAGACTGCTCCCGACTTTGGCTCCTGGATAGCACAGACATGACCCCTACCCATGGCAGAGGCGTTCCACATTACTAAGATAGAGATATAATGAGATATATAGAGATGTTTCAGTTTCACGGGTTACTCAGTAGTCACCACTTCACCACAACATCAGCTAGGAGCAGCTAGGACCAGCTAGGACCATCAGCTGGCGCCACTTGGGTTGCCACCTGCTCCGGTGGATGACGCGCACAGGCGACACATGGACCGGAGATGAGGAGAAAATGCCCGAAGGAGAAGGGCCCTGGGGCGAAGGCCATCCCTGAATCCTCAGTCCAGGGATGGTTGTGCTGTTGAGAATGTAGATCAGGGATGATCAGGGGATCATAGAACCGAAACGGCATACCGTACATCAGAGAAATTTACCAGGTGAAGGCGAATAGAGTGATGAATAGCCACAAGCGTGCATAGAGACACCGTACAGTTCATGCAGGGACAAGATGATACAAAATGAACAGAAACACACAAAAAAAAAGTGTGTGAAAATATGTGAAACATTTTCGGGGCGCATAAGTGATCTGCACAGGCCACTGCCATAGCTGTTTACTCATTTGTTCAGTTGATTCCCCCCCTTCTTGATCAGAGCTTCGGATTGTAGCCTTGAGATGGGTCCAACAAGCCTGTCAGGTTGGTGCGTCGAAATTCACCATCAGCCCGGGTGAATCCATCAACCGGAAAGCATAAGTTCTGGCTCTTCTGGTCTTCAACAAGACTTTGCAGACCAAAGCCCAAGGTACATCATGTCTCAAACAAAACCCCCCAGAGAGAGAGGGAGAGAGAGAGAGACAGAGAGACAGAGAGACAGAGACACAGAGAGACAGAGAGACAGAGAGACAGAGAGACAGAGAGACAGAGAGACAGAGAGACAGAGAGACAGAGAGACAGAGAGACAGAGAGACAGAGAGAGAGACAGAGAGACAGAGAGACAGAGAGAGAGAGACAGAGAGACAGAGAGAGAGAGACAGAGAGACAGAGAGACAGAGATAGAGAGGGAGAGAGGGAGAGAGTCACGTAGCAGAATCCAGTTGCTGCCCTCGGCACTATGCACAAGCAACCTACAGCTGATGATACCGATATACTGTTACTATACTGTTACTAGAAATTAAATGATAGAGATAGGGAAGCTCATGGGCTTCAAATGGTAAATGCCAGCAGGAAATCCTGAAACAAACAGGAAGTCCAGACTTGCCTATTGCATGGTTCGAAACAAATTTCTCAATTTCAAGCGCCTAATCTATGCTGCCTGGACCTACACTCTTCGGATGCAAGTACCACTTTCATGGACTTTGCCATAGCAGGGTCTGTTCGTTCCCTAGCGAATATTGTTCTTCCAAAGGTTGAAAACTACGTTATCTGAGTTTTGACCAAAGACATCTCCTCCCATCTCACGACGGATTCTGCCTTGCGGGAAATCCAAATGTGGTTGCGAATGACTTGAATTCCTCAGAGGACTGTGGCGGCAAAATGCATCGGGCTGGGGGCCGCGGCATATTTACTTCACATATCTTGACATTGGTTTTGTTTCAACATTTCTGACTTTGGTTCTCGCCGCCCACTCCGAAAGCCACCCTTTCTGCCGGGCTGCGGCCTCGATGGCGGTAGTGGTGGATGTGCCACTTCACCATAGCTATGCCGCCGCAGAGCATGCAGCGCAGCGCTGTTTCGACCTTCCCTTGGTACATCTCTGCTGTCGATGGTTTCAGAACTTTGGTTCTAGTGAGATTGCCCTTGCCTCCAACATGTTTCACATGGTATTCAACAAAGGGGCAGGTGTCCAGTAAAGTAAGATAGGAACAAATGCAGAAAAAGAGAGGGACAGAGAGAGGGAGAGAGAGAGAGAGAGAGATATATATATATATACACCTGGAAAACCGTATGGACAATTTTTTGTGTCCATCAACCGTTAACGGACGTTTTTTTTGTTCAATTGCGTATTTTGGTTTTTGATTGTGAAGGGTTGTTCAAATCCTTTGACAACACACCGGGTTCGGACATCCTCCGACAGTCTTCAAAAGAGGAATTTCAGCCCGAAATGGAGCAAATTGGGAGTCGTGATCGGGTACCCAAATCTGGCCACAAATACTGCCATATTTCCCACCAAATTTGGATGTACTCATAAAATCCTAGTATTTTTTCAACATCATGTTGAAAGAAAACAGTAAGCAGATGTCAACATACTGCCCCAAATACTGTCTCTAGACGAGACACTCATACTGTCGATTACTGTCGGAACCAGTCCGACAAATCCAAGATTTCAGGAAAACTATTGACCTGTAAGTAGAGGGTTTGCAGCCGGACACGGCCGCATTTGGAAAAAACGTAACGGGCAAAAAATGTCCAAACCCGAACGGACAGAAAATTTTGTCTTTATGGTTTTCCAGATATGATATATATACATATATGTAGACACCGCGTCTTATCCGTCCCGGGTCAAGACTTGCCAATGAATCCTTGTTCATAGAGAGCGCTTCTACGTGGCTTCCCCGCGACCCCAGGCCATGGCAGCCAAAGTTCTCAAACGCAATAATTGGCCGGGATGGCGAGTTGGTATCCCCGCCTGACAGAAGCCCCTGTTGCTGCCTATGGAAACGAAACAATGGCTACCATCAAAACAGAAAGATGTCCATCTGTTTGTATGTTTGTGAAAAATGATGTAAGATGGATGTACATGGTGTATAATTGTGAGATATTGTGAGTGTGTAATTGGGCATCCAGGTATTTTAGTAATAAGGCCCATGATGGTCAACAGTTGGATTTCGGGCTCCCGGTGCCGCGCATGTGCCCGGCCTTCAGTATTGTCTGGGCCTGGTTCTTCCACATCTGTATCTCCTCCTCAAGCTATCAGCTGATTTTATGGATCTAAAATGGCGGAGCAAACTAACGAACCTACAATCTTCCAAGATGTTCATATAGCTTTGAGTCAAACCCTGGTACCCTAGGTACCCTAAATAGCTGGTTAATGGGTGTCTATTCCCCCAATTATTGGTATATAATGAAATGTAATTAACAGGTTTTGACCCATCCCCATATCGTGTTTGGAGGTTGTTTGGAGACTTCGCATCCAATAACGCTCCTGGTGGCTCTTCAGTCACAACCTCTTGAAGAGGTGGTTTTTCCTTCTCAGGATACACCTCCAGCGCCAGCATCTGATCGACAATGGGAGGGACCACCACATGGTGCATAGTAGATCTGCGTTGAGGTTGGCAGCCAAATTTGGCTACATCTGGCTGCTAAATATTCAAGAATCTAAGAATCCGTTCAGGAATGCCCTTGGGCACTTGTGGTTTTGTGGTGGCATGCCCGGAGAATACTGTGCTGAACATTGAGTTGCCAACATGTCAATCAGTCAATCATAATATGGCAACCGCTGACTAAGTGATCAATGGTCAAACGGTAAAACCTTGTGAGCAAGGGACAACAACGCCAAACTGTCAGCAATGTTTGATTCCAATAGATCACCATCCTAACAAACACAACTGGCAATTATATAATAGGGGCTGAAGTGACCATTGGTCCACCTACATGAAATGCTTCACAGAAACCCATGGTTTTGGGGATCCCCATGGATCCCCTATTTTAAGAAACCCCCAATTCAATGATGTCAACCCGCCTTTTTCTTCCTGTGCTGCTTCTCGATAGCTCGCTTTCTCATGAGGTAGATGGCACCTCCAGGCATCGAATGACAAGAAAAAGCAGCTCCACATGTCGCATGATATGCCCACCTTGCATTATGATGTCACAATATGTTATAAGTTATAGCTATAATGTTACCTCGAAATGTTTGAAGTCTCAAACCCAAATGTCATCGAAACTATCGCGAAGTGGCGAGGTGTTGAGAGGGATACAGTCCTTATAGTCCTCGTAAGTCCTTGTTCAAGGGTGATCCCAGAATGTATTACAAGCATAGCACCTGGCTTCGAAGTGTTACAATAAAGAAACCGAAACACAAGGGAGTGAAACTGATCAAACCATACGACGCATTAGGGCGGACCATTTGGCCGGGGGCAACCATCAAGTAAATGGCCTAAGTTGTGTTTGAGGTCAAATTACCGTAAGTTGTTGAGATAACATTGAGTTTCAGCGCTGAGTGTAGGCTGAGCATCGGCTGAAGCTCGACGGAGGGTGTGGAGAGATCACAAAGTACAGTTGATGCTATTTTGAGTTTCAGGTCCATTTGAGAAAGAATTTCTTTCTCAAAATCACCTCGATGCGTTTTTGCAATGGTTTGAGCATGTCCCGAGTAGGTTCTGAGGGGGTCGAATAGGTTTTGAATGGTTTTGATTAGGTTTTGAGTAGGTTTTGAGTAGGTTTTGAGCTCCGAATACCACATAAGTCCTATGCTCGGGTGGAACTCGACACGTCCCCCCGGCCAACAGACCCCCCCTATTCCTGACCCTAATGGATTGAAACCTTCAGTTTTCATCTCCACGGCACCTCCAGCAAGACTGGATGCAACCAAAACCAGCGGAACCGTGAAGGCAATCGCGATGATCGTTGAGAAATTCTCCTTTTCTTGCAAAGGGGTGTGCCTCAAGGCTGCATGTGGAAATCTGTGGAAACCACTCTGCAACAAGGAGGAATGGCCATGGATGCACATGGGAATGAATAGACAGAACTCTTCATGCGCTGAGATGTGAAGTTTTATCTGGTTTGTGGGCTGAGATGAATGGTGCAACCCTGGCCTGTAGTACAGAGCATAGGTGCCGCTGCTTATGGTAGAGCATTGCGCGATGTAAGTTTCTTTGTTCGCACTGACCAAGGAGATATTGTCCGTGACCCACTCGCCTTTGCCTGACAGGTGGGGATGGGGACAGGCGGCCGGATATTGATTTACAGTCTGAACCACAAACGTCCTCAAATCCTACCGTGATAAAAGCACATGAAATGGCCCAACATCCCTTTGTCCCTCTTTGAAATAAGCTATTTCCTTTTTCAGGTATTCATCTAGAGCCAAGGGGATCTTGGTGTCTCGCCACTGCCACTTCCTAGACCCCAAGTCTTTTTCCAGGCACTTTGGTTCACAGCAAACCAGCCGCAGAGAACGGCCAAAACTGGCCTGTGTCGAAAATGACACAGGTTGGTGTGTCAGTTGGACTTTCCGCATCGCCAGGCATTGCCACTGCAACTTCCACAAAAGTTGGGAAGCCGACAACCACCCCGCAGCGTGAGAGCCTCACATGCGGCCCTCCATGTACCAATGGCTAAGGGAAAATAGGGAAAACATGGGAAAACTCACGGGAGATCATTGTTCTTGGCCAAATGAAAGGCTTCCATTGGTTTTTTCTGCAGAGTTTTCCTTCAACCAATTCGTGGAATGTATGCAACTAGCATCAAGTCGCCACATTTCCTGAGAAGAATTGCGGTTAAGGTGGTAGGAATCGAAGCCTTGAATCAAACCTGTGGCATTGCGTTGCCGGGCAGCTCTAGCACGGACACAGTGGCATTGCTCGCAATGTTGCTGTTGATGCCTCAGTCTCCGGAGTAGAGCTCCAAGGCAGATCTAACCCTCAGAATCTGCTGTGGCGCATGTAATTTTACTAGAAAGTGCTCCTTCAGGCACCACCCATGCTTCAATATCTCAAGACATCGCAGCGGAGCGGCCAAGAGTATCATTGGCCCAGGAGTATGGATTGCTTGCAATCCACTGGGTGTACTGAAGTCCAACCTCACTGCCTTAGAAGTAGCCGCAAGGAAAAGTAGAAACAAACTCAAGTGAGCCAAAATCGATAGTACATGCAAGCCCTGGTGGAAGGTGCACGTGCATCTTCTGCTCATTGGTTCGAACTTCGGCTCTGTCAAAACACATGAAACACGCAAAAAGGATCAAAAATGTTGCCTTTGTTAATTCACAGGGCCCTAGGTACAAGCTGGCGCGCTCTGAAGACGTCGCCCTGAGGCAGGGATGGAGACACCTGATGCAGTCAGACCATTCCTCAGTAGAACGGCAAACGTGCTGATCATAGTGGGGATGCGGATAGGGCTAAATCAAGCTTGAGCAACTAAGTTTTACTGTACTGCTTCTGCACTACATTCACTACATCCACTGTTTGGATAGCAGCTGGAGGTCTTGCACGCGTCCTAGCTGCAAACAGACTTGAAATGCTCTCCACAGATTTGCATGCTTGAGATCCTTTTATGCTTCCTCTTGTCAGATACATATCCCCCCAGTATCTCGCCTTGGAGTTCAATGGGGTCCAAATATAAACATGTCATCACCCAAGCATGCAAGGTGTCAAAGAGCCAGCCCATTCTCACCAACTGCTACCCACTAGCCACACACACACACACCTACAAGTTCTGACCAATATATTAGCTAGAATGGTTCGGAAAAGTAAGCAAGTTCACAAAGACCTTCTAACGTATTTTTTTTCATTAGTCATTGTCAAATTATCTATGTTTTTCCGGTAGCTAGCGCATCATCTCCAAATCAATGTGGGCCTTCTCCGTGAACCCAACGGTGGCAAAAGTGCCAAGCCGGGGCCGCACGGCCATAGAAGAAAAACATGCCCACATCTCACGACGAAAAGAACCATGGACTATCATAGCCTAATTCCTACCATGGCAAACACTTTTCCAGCATTTTCCAGCCATTGAAACCTCTTAAAACTGCCTCAGACATGCCATGCCAGCTGACGGATTTCCCACCAGGCCCCATGCCCCGCCCCAAGCGTCTGGTCCACGTCGGTGGTGCTGCTCTTCGCCAGTTCCGTCTCCGAGCCACGGCCCTGCGCGTCCAAGGAACTGAGCGTCAGGGTGCCGTTGGCCGGGACGGAGTTCAACATCACCTGCCGTGGTGCCCCTTTAAAATATGACAAAAAGTTAGTAGTATCATGATCATGGTCATTGTGGGTTATGACCATCACTAACTATGTTTGCTGCTGTCATGATCATTCCTGTCATTAACAAATTTCGACTATTGTTTCTATTCTAGAAATGGTTGCACATTATTATTATTGCTATTATTGTTGTTATTATTATTGTTATCATTATTGTTGTTGTTGTTATTGTATTTATTTTGTTTATATATTTATTTATTTATTTATTTTATGTATTTATTTATTTAATCAGTTATTTATTTATGTATGTATGTATGTATGTATGTATGTATGTATTCATTATTATTTATTCTGGTATGGTATGGTATTATTGTAAAAACACCAGTAACAGCAGTACTTCCCAAAAAGGTACGGCATAGGCATAGTGATCATAATATCATAATTGATAAGCAGCCCTTCCCGGAAAGCCTGCCCTGGTGGAATGTCTAGGACCCTAGGAACTCGCCCAGACAACCTGACCAGTCCTGACCCCCACCTGGCCCAACTTGGAGACCAAATCCAAGGCTTTTGCCTCAGCACTCCATAGCTATAGCTTTGAGATGCTTTGAGCATGGAAGGTCCATCAAATCCAAGTGCGAAGGAGCTTGTGGTCCCCACATTCTGATGTCTGTGGTATGAAAAATGTTGAAACCAAACGGGAAGATCTGGGATCGCATTTGAATCACCTGAATGAATGCGAGCTTTCAGTGAATGTGGCATTTATGTATATTGATTTTATGTGTATATATATATATACAATATGTTTTATGCGCGTGTAACAGGTACGACGTATACCAAGCATGTGTGTATGCCCATAATAATATCATGTGGTATGATGTATACGGTATACTGTACTCTGTTGATGAAGCTACTGGGCAAAAGGCCCCAGAGGAACTACCAGGTCTGTGACTACTTCGAACCATGCATCCGATGGATGAAGCCCTACACGGCCCTACCAAGAACAATTAAGGAAGCCCGAGAACAACAAAACATGCCATGAATTGAGACGGAAGTGGAAGTCGCAATTCATGTCCAACAATTTTCTGACTTGTGTGCATGGTGTCTGTCCCTAGCTCCTTCCTAACTACGAGCTTGAAAATCATATGCCATCCCTTCTGACAAACTTTTTCTGTCGGGTCATTTGCTTGAAACTCCTCGCTCTGCCAACACATTGACTGTTTCGCGTGCCACATCTTCAGCCTTTGTGGAGAGTAGGCTGTCGCGCACCAGCACAAGTGCCAGCCCTACGCAACGCAGCGTTACGGATACATTAATCACAAGGTGTAGGATCAGGCTCTCTTGCCTCAAGATTCGCTTTGGAAGTCGAACTGCAAAAGCCAGCATCAAGCCCAATACAAACTTAAACCAGTGTTCTTTCAGACATGCTGCCAACAACTCTTCTTGGGACAGCCAGGCTAACCATTGCGAACTCTCACGTCCAGCTGTTGCAGTTGGGGCAGGGATGGGCGTTCCAGGTGCGGAACCCGCACTTTGCGGCGTCTCGGCTCGCTTCTGCCGCAGCTTCTTCGGCTTTCGCCCAATGGATTCCAGGAAAAGCATCATACCGATGACCACGGAAATGTCCAATACAAAGAGCCCAGCCCATGCCATCTTCTCACCAATTTGCCAAGATTTCTCAAAGCCTCTCTTCACATAGGGTCCTAGCCATGCCCACCGAGCTGCCCACCTCTCAAGGAAACTGGGCTTCACCGGCATCGCTTTGGCTGTTGAGATGTTTTCCACCTCCACCACCTCTCCAGGTGTCACCACCCACCGTTCCGACAGGCTCCGGACGCTGGAGATAGCCTCGGAGGACAGGGCCGACTGCAGTCCGGAAATGGACTGCAGGGCACCAAAGAGGTGGCCTTCCACGGAGGATGCCTGTCTGGTCTCTGGGTCAAAATCTGGGTCGAAATCATCCAAAACGCCCAAGATGGCATGGACCTCATCGGTGATTCGGCCCAGAGAGACTTTGATCTTCTGCAACTCCTTCCGGCCCAACATGGAAGCTCCAGCTGGGTCACAACCCTTTCGGTTCCCCCAAACCAGGGGAAACAATGGGAAGAGCAGCACGAACCAACGCGGCATGGCAGCTAGCATCCCAAGGATGCCCCCTGGATGGTTGAATCCCCTCCAAGTGATGACACTGATTCTATCATGCTCTGCCTGGTAGCTACGGACTCAGTCCGTCTGTGCTATCTGATATTATCTGATCAGGGTCGGCTGGGTTCTTTATCCCAAGTAGAAAGGGAAGTTCAACTTGCTTGAAAAATTGTACATGCGGTGTTCATCTTGACACGATGTTATGCAATCTGATCTTTGGGAAACAATGTGCAACCTGAAGAGTGAGGATGCGATGTGTTGTATGCTTCAGTGTGGTGGATCTGAGGAGGACTTCAGATGTTGAGCCGTGCGAATGCAACGTGACAAATCCCCGTTCGCAATATTTCGCAATCCTCAAGATACACAACTTTCAAGCATCCATTTAACCAGCCTTTGCCTAGAGAATCAAGTTGAATCAGCAGTTGAAACGGTTTCTAATCGCGGCTACCCATTGCAAGCGTGCCAAACCGCGAGGCAAACTGACCTGCCAAGACACCGTCACAGCAGCCGACTGCTCAGGGTCTCCTCCACCGTCAGTGTTGGCAGTGGTGATGGTCAGCAGGGAGCCAAGCATCGCATTTCCGGCATCCTCAGTCACCACCTCAAAATTGGGCGCCGGTGGACACTAACACCATCTAAGACCCAACCGCGGGGCCTAATCAACCGGGGCTCGTTTTGATCCGCCGGCTATGCCTATTGGCAGTACGGTGCAGCTGAGCTTCAGCGGTGGCCGCGGTGGCCGTGTTCAAGACAGTGCCAAGGACATCTGTAGCACGGCTCAAGGTGGACCTGCAAAATGACGGGAAAGGACAGGAAAGAAAGGGAGCCATCGGAATGAGTTCACTTTGAACTTTGGGTTACTATAATCCCCAATGTATTGATTAGTTAGCATAATCCCGTTATAATTTCATCAATCAACAGGGGTTTGGAACATGGCTCAACTGTTGACCTTGAAAGCTGCTAGGTAGACACATTTCGCACCGCATGCCCACCGAGGCACTTGTCTTGGGTACCTGCTGACCCACTGGACAAAGCCGCCGTCACTACCCCGCCAACCTGCCGATTCGGTGGGGATCAGAACTTTGCAACTTGAGAAAGGACTGGAAAACATAGCTCCAACTCCACCAGTCAGTCTAAGTACTACTTTGCCGTACGATCTGGCATAACTACCCTAGTCTCTGGACAAAAAATCCTCAAAAATCCTATGAGTTGGTCCATCGCGGCATATCGCGGCCGGCAAAGGGGCCTTCTGCAGCGTCGATGCATCAGGCGGGGCCAACTCTGCGGCGGCTTCTAAGGCTGTCATGGAGGCGTCGACCACCTCGCAGGATCTGCGGGGATTTCCCCTGGTTCTAATGGGAAAACATGGGAAAACCATCGAACTACGGGAGGTTGCCATACCACCATGGCCATAACTTATCCATGTCTTTGTAGGATGTCTGATATCCCCATGAGGCACCTCACTAACCAGAGTTATGAACCATGATGAACATGTACAAATTGAGGGTGGTCCTCCAAGCAGCACCCATCACAACATGCCGTACAGAAACATGCACAGATCTCAAAGACATGTGGAATTCCTCCATTCTCCTCGAGTCTTTTGCGCAAGTTTCTGCCACCAAAACTAGGGTCTAAACGGAATCTTGTAACAACTTGTAACTTGATGTACCTTGAGACATCTTGAGACCATGCAACCGGAGGTCTGTCTATCGAAATCTCTGTGTTTTTCCCACTTTTCTGGAGGCTCCCTCCACCAATCACCTTGGTTGCCACCGGGTAACCGCCCTGGACTCCGCATCACTGCCAGCTACGCTTACAGAACTCACAGCTGCTACAGCGTTCAGGATGCTGTTGGCCTGCCACAAGTCGCCACGGATTGGGCCTTTAGCGGCCACAAGTTGCTCCGTTCTCGTGATAAAACATCCAATCTACGGTCTTATATGCCTATATCCTAGATGTTTAAAATATCTATGGAACATATCATAATGTATCATATCTATATTACAGTGTGTTACAGTATAAATTGTATCTATATATATATACTGTATATACAGCAGTTGTGTGTGTGTGTGTGTCATCCCACATCATCCCGTATGTTTGTCCATTCCAATGCCCGTTTTCGGCTCCACCAGATTCGGCGATCCCACAGGGGTCGCCTCGTTGAGTGCCACAGCACTGCCCAGGGCAGCACTCGCCAGGGTTGGATCTACTCCACCCAGCGGGGCAGTGACCACGGGACCCCGCAGGCCACTAACGCTGCTGGCGCCAAATTGATCGCCTAAAATCCGGTGCGACGAAGTGGTTGAGACGCCAAAAGTGCTGCGTTTTCTGAACATGATAGGACCTGATGGGATGAATAATAGTAGAGAAATAAAGTCGAACAGAGAAAAACTATGAAAAACTACTGCTTTTTGCCAGGGCTTCCGAAGGGTTTGCCCTAAAATTGGAATACGACGGAGCCTGATCAAATGTGAATGCAAATGAATGCAAATTGAGAGAGAGAGAGAGAGACGCAAATGTAAATGTAAAGATAAATAGAGTCAGACTAGTTGTTGCAAGCTCTCTTTCTCTCTCTCTCTCTTTCTCTCTCGCCCTCTCTCCATACTGTACACATACGACCATCAGACAGCTGTCTGCCCCAACCAGCCTGTTTCAAGGTCTATGTGCACTGGTTAATTGTCTATGCCCTCCATGCGGACAAATCTGCGACGCCACACTCCCGGCTTAGCCTATATGTGCACTGGTTAATTAGTTATCCTTATTTGAGGAATTAGTTGTTCTGCCCTGGAGTCATTGTCAGCCCAAATGGTAACCGTGAGCAGCTGCATTTGGCTGTTGAGTTCCAAGTGAACTCACATGTAGCACCAAAACATCCAAACTCTCCGAAAAGTGCTGGCAAAGTCGCGCACGCGAAGTATCGTGATCAAGTTGCCAATTGGAAGGATGGTCTCGCAGGTGGCACTCTTTGACCTAAGGGTTTATGGCTGCCAAGAAGGGGCAGCCCCAACCAAGATAGCGATGAGACGATGGTGTTTCGGCGGTTCTGGTTGACAGAACATACGGGCAACAGACCAAAAAGAATGCGCATGCTGTGATATCTATTGACAGATCCCCAAGCCTACTGGAGGCACATGGGACTTCAGTATCTTGGACATGCTCGGAGACGTCTAAGGGTCAGGCCAATCTTGTAGAAGGATTCCTTGCAACGAGACCCAGTAGTTGGAGTCCGTGCTGTTGTCCCACCTACCAAGCTGCCCATGGCCAAACTGTGTCACACCATTGGTGTTCAACCAATCTCCACATGTGCTTAAGACCCGGCTATGTAGCTACGGTGCTCAGACAAGACACACGATGGTATTGGTCGCTATCGTGATGTCGAAGGGAGTCGTGAAGCTGAGTTGAGATTCTGTGAACTGATAGAAGGCCTTGGACCACATTGGACCACTACAGTCAGATATGGCGGTGTCTAAGTCGTATCTCCACCCACCAAGTCCAAAGGCGGAGTCTCTCGTGCGTCACGAGCCGCTTCAAAGTGCTTTCTTGCTTGACCCAGCCCTTGGCAAAGTCCAGTTCAAAATCATGGTGCACGCCAAGGCACATACTGGAGTTCTGGGACAGATTCATCTACCCAATCAAGCGCATTGAGTTTGAACCTGAGTATCGACATCGACTTGCGTTTCAATCAATGAAAAGCCTAAACCCCTGGGCTCCTCCAAGAACATCAATGCCCTAGCAAAGGTTCAAATTTGCATCCCAAAACCACAACAAAAGTCGAAAGGAAGTTCTGGTCATTCCCTGCAGGCCAGCTCTGGTGGGTGCGGGTAGGACTGATTAGACTTCCCCCTGCCCCAAACTTGAAGAAGGCTCTATCTGCCAAACATACCCCAAACAGCATACACTAGCGAAACATTCCAGGCTGAACCTGCTGGAAGCAAACTTCCCTCTTTGAGGTGATCCATTCGCGTAGAAATACAGCCAGACCAGCTTCTTTCGTTCAACCGCGGCAAGGCACTTCGTCTCCACCGCAAAGCCTTCTGCAGGATCGGCCTGCACTTGCCCATCACGAGGGGGACCATCAGCCAGGAATGGGGAAGAACGCACCAGGAAAGCTCCTGCATTGCCAGAAGGAAGGGATACCGGCCATCCACGGTTCCCTGCAAAACCGTGCCTTGTCAGTTGCAGCATGTCATGATATTGGAATATGCAAAAAATACTAGTAGATATTATATATATATAATTATGATAATAATAATAATGATAATAATAATAATAACAATAATAATAATAATATATAATATCAATATATATATATGTGTGTGTGTGTTATACATTGATTATTAACATTTATTAATTATTATATTATTATATATACATGTCTTTGATGATTTTGATGTCGGAGGCCATTTGTCTGCGAGACCATTTGTGGGCTGCGTGGCATGACAGCCTTTGGGAACACATCGGCACAACCCTGGCACTGTGAGACATCCTGCGGCTGCTGCGCTAGTGAGCGAACCCAGCACGTTGTTATCCAGTAGCGTGATGGTGTCATCTTGGAGGCCGATTATGAACACCTGCAAGGGCTCAAGATGACCGACAGTCGGCCCAACACGGAGGAGTCAAGCGATTTCAGAAAATGAGGAGAAAGTTGTTCATGGAGGTTTCTCCAAGTTGCACTTATTATAATGACTGCGCATTGTATCTCTTGAAAGTAGTAGAGGAGGCCATGTTCCAAGCTGTCACTATACATCAGATGTACATCAGGACAAGCCACATACTCATATTGCTCTCCCACGGTCAATGTGGAGCCATCAAAGGTTGAACTTGCCAAGCTCAAGGATGCATAGGACGAGTTCCATGAACCCTGAGGCACCTCAGCGGGATGTGGAGCTTCTGTGCTTGGTAACTGGGGGAATCTGCAGATCATGGGCATCATTTTATATAAATAGTAAGATCTGTATAGATCTGTAGTAATAGTGCAATTTACATACTGTAATTGTAACAAAGTAGCGAGAAATAACAATGCTACTTCCTGAAAGTCACCTGCAAGAATCCTCATGCAAACCCTGGTGAGGTACTGGGCATGAATGCATGAGGGCAGAGTGCTAACCAGTCCCTCACCAAACCAGATTCAAAGCCAGGATGCATTGATTGACAAAATCGTCCCTGTGGAACTCACTAGGGCCCACCTGACAGATTTCAGCGAAAGTAATTGGCCCAGCAAGGGACCCTGGAAGCCAAAACAAATGTCCAAGCCAATCTCTACTGGATTTGCGAGGGATCTTTTTCCTTACTACCTGGGACATCCAGGGACATCCAGGGACATCCTCAGAGTGATTGTCCATCTGCGCCAATTATAGGCCATTGAACAATCTCGATCATCCAAGGACAAGATTGACCACTCAGCAGATCTGCACCTGAAACTTCCAACTGCTGGGATGGCACACGTGGAGCTGCCCATGATATTTGCCACAGGGCCAGTGCCTGGGTTGATGCATCATCGGGTGCACAACATGTCCAGCACTGATGTCCCAAATGTATCCGGATGTCCCAAGAACAGCATTGTCTCAACGTCTCAGGGGGCCCGGCTCCAACCCATGGTCGTGGACACCCCACTGCCGTTCAGCCATGGTGTGGTGATGACCACAGGTGGTGGCGCTGAGGCGGACAGGGAAACCTGGGGGCCATCAGCCAAGGTGAGGCCAAATCACTGATGACTCTGGAGTAATGAAGACCCAGGTAGGACGATCTCCTGAGGATCATTTAGAATTACTCCCGATACACCTACAAAGAACTCAACTGAAGAGTTGTTGAGGGTGAACTCACTTAAATGCTTAATGTCCGCACAGCCGAGGCACTGTAATGGAGGCATTCGAGGCATCTGCTTCAGTCTCAAAGGATCTCCAAACCCGGGCCTTAGAAAAAGCGTGTCCGGGAGAGCTGAAGACCTGGGCTAGTCATTCTTGAACAACCCCCAAAACATAGAAAAATCATGAAAATCATGAAAAATCAATCCCAATCAGTAGTGGTGAATTACCTTTCTATCTTTTGGATCTGTTTGCGCGTGACTATAAAATCTATCATGGCAATGGTCAGGATTATTTTCCATACTTTATCATAGACGTGAGGACTGCGCGTGGCTTTCGTGCTTCCATCGGTCACATGTGAAATCGGGCCTGGCTCGGACAATTCCATCAAGAATATGCCGTGTCCCAAGTATTGGCAACGTGGCATTCATCAACGCTGGGGGCAATTAAGTAGTCCAAGTTCATGTTACTGCAGCAACTAAAGGGCATCGCTCTTGCGGGCACCCTGCTCATTTTTCCAAACTTGGTTCATAAAGCCCGGGGTTCGCATCATCCAAGCGGCCGTAAATGTAAAGAGCCCCTCCTGGCCAAGCAGCGCATTGCATTTCGCTGGAAATCGGAACACATCCGAGTGCAGCCACAAGCGAAATGCTGCCGGTTTCCTTTATCAAGTCCTTTTGATTCAGCATTTTGATTCAGCATTCTATGTTCCATCGTACGTCTTTGTTTTGACGGCCTCATAAATTCTCAAGGTGTGAGTGGCTGAAACGGGCTGATTGTTTTGGGACCGCTGATCCTGTAGGATGCCACCGGGAATGCTGAAATCTGAGCTGGCAGAGTCCAAGAATTGGCACACCTCGGCATGAAGAATGAAGCTGGGAACAGGGGTGGTCCAACACGGGTCACTCACACCTCTCAACAGGCATGGAGACAAGAATTTCGACCAAATGATGGAGAAAATAGAAAACACTACCCAGCATGGTGGAAAGGCAAGGGAACTGGGTTCCCAAACCCTGTCTCTCACGCCCAGGCTGCTGAAGCAACTCCACCTGTACCTGGGCGGACATTCCGCAACGCGGATCTGGCAATGGGGTCCAGTCCAAATCCGCACATTCCACAAAAGAAGGACATCCTCGTACACGGCACATGCAAACACATGCAGATCATGCAAATACGCTAGAAAATGTGGAAAGAGGATGAAAGAGGGGTACCCTCCAAATTGTGATCATCTGATACTTCAATGGTACCCAATTAAACAGCCGTTTGGGATTAGTCCAGGGTTGACCTCAGGCTTGACATTCGCTCGGTTCTATTCCAAGGTGCCGAAAGTCCGGTGTCACGCTGGAAGGCAACGAAGGATCTTGGGAGGCCTCCCCAGCTCAGGCTGAAAAATCACCAACAACAAGAGAGATGGAAAATCAATGGTTTCATGCATATCCCCCCACAATATGATCTTGAAATGATGGATTCTCCATATGAACAGCTATATTCTTAGCTCGTTGGAGAGAGAAACAAACAGTTTTTTGCTGCTTTCTATCCCTATCCTTGGCGTTGGCCAAATGGATCGAACTTGGGGAATTTCTACTTTCCAACTTTCCAACTCACTTCCCACCTGCGCAGACACCACGAAACCGCAGTTTATTGAGGTCTCTGATGGTCCGGACACTAAAGCAATGGGTGCTTCACCTCGCAGCCGGAGGCCGTAGCTGAGTGGCCGCTCAATCTCATGTGCTGTGTATAACACATGAGTAAATGCACATGTAATACATGATAATAATACATGTATATGCAGATATATGCAGATGCACAAGTGTGCTTCCACTTTGATCCAGCACGTAGATCGTCGCAACTGTAAGGAATACTTTCCAGCACATTGCCTACTCGCACATTGACCAAACAGATGAGTTTTAACATGTTTTAACAAACTAGCCGGGCACAAGCTCTCCACACTGGCAACTTGTTCTGCAAACGGGACACGTTGCTTCACATGAACGGCAAACTGCAAGACCTGGGTATTCTCCACGATACTTGGGTCCAAACCTCCAGGGTCAAAGCGCGTTGCAACACAGCCATTTTTTGAACAGCACCATGCCACCATGCCTTGAAAATAAGCAGTAGCTCGGAAGTAGTGACTCGTCTCCGGTTCAAAGCTGAATGCGGCAAAGCTGAGGGTAAACCTCGGCCGTGGATAGCTGGCGTCCAGGGATCAGAAAATCCCATCGCTGAGGCCAAGCAACGGCGAAAATGCTCGATCCTCCAAGCCGTACACCTGCAGAGGGTCCAAGGGTTAAGGCCAAACTATTTGAAACGAATCCGGAGTGAGTCCACTGAAGGTGCCTAAAGCCAAAATGCAAACGTCAAGGTTTTTTTTTAATTTACATTCTCTCTTTCCAGATTTGGCGTCAACCCGCACCGCCTGGAAGGCTGAGATTGCACAAACCATCCAAACTTACCATCCTACATCATCCTACTATGACCAAATGTTTCCGAAGGGAAGTTGCAAATTTACACCAGTCCCCAAATAGACACAGAAAAGTCAAATCCCAAAGTTTAGTGATAAAATGTGATAAAGATTATTCCTTTTCTGAGCCTTTCCTGAGGGATTCAATTTACTTCGACCAGTCGTGCGCGCCGCCTCAGACAGCTTGACCCAACCAGTCGTGTTGGAGCTGGAGTACTCCCAGTCCACAGTGATACGGCGGTTGTAACCTGTGGCTTCGACGTGGCCGAATGGTTGTCCTGCGGGGTTATGGAAAACCAAAGCAGAGATTTTAACCATACAAAAATAGGGATAAATGAGGGATTTGAGGATTTCAACCATCAACATTGACGATTATGATTGGGATATGGGTGGTACATGGAAGTACTCCCATCCCCTAATATGAAATGTACCATAAAATTCCACCAATGACGGACACCAAAATGAAAGCCCCCCTGCGAGGAACGGCTTGCGTCGGAACATTCGAAGCTCTCCCTGAGTTCGGTTTGCATGTTGAACTCGACCTGCGCTGATGGCAGCACCCAGGAGCTGGGAGTGAGCAATAAGCCTGCACCAAAGATGACAACATATGATAACCATGCATTTAGGTACGTGCAGAGTTGCCCCACTCAGTCCTTCTTGGGAATGGAAAAGGAGGTCACCAAGCAGTTCGAAAGGAAGGGGGAAGGAGGAAGGAAGAAGCAAAATAAAATAGATCTTCAAGTCCAAACGGGCTACTTGGAGGTAACCCTGGTTGATAGATCCCCTTATGGGGTATCCCATACATGGGTCATGAATTATAACGTCTAACTATGATTGCTGATCAGCTACTAGGTAGCAAGATCCTTTAAATACCCTCCCAGACCCTCCCTGCAACGGAGAAAGGCCCCCCGAAAAATGGAGGTGTCCTAAAAATGGGGCACCCCAAATCAGCCAAGTCACTGGACCATTTTAGTATTGAAACCCATGGTGACTTAAGAACCCCGCAAATGTTCCAAATGAGTCTGAGTTGATGAGACTTGTCCGCACCTCTTCTCGATTGAAGATCTGAACACTTGTAGAGCCCACCGGCACCACTTGAGGCGCCTTCAGCATTCCACATGGCATGAAGGCTTTGGGGCTACGAATCACATCGAATCACCACAAACCTACGTTGGCTTCTGTGAAACTTCCACTCAAGCCTGATACCAAACAAAAAAAAGAGGCAAACATAAGCAACCCTTTGATTGTTTGATCCTCTTGCATTGAAGAACCCAACACCCCTGGCCCCCCACCACTGTCAATGAGATATTTGCAAAACACCGAAAACACCGGCAACTCCCGGCCTGGTCGAGCTGTATCCAAGTGGATGCATTTCCTGCAGTGCTTTCACCCAGCCAGTTGGTGATGGTCACTATGATCTCCAGCCGCACGATGTCGAGCTGCGACGGAAATGTCAGACAGGGCGAGGTTACTGCGGCTCAAAGACTCGGGTCTTTCCAAGAAGCAACTACAAAATACTACAACCATCTGCAACTTTGGATGACAATCTTGAATGATCTTGACATATCTCAAGTATTACACTATATCGCAAAAATCTATAAAAATCTATAAAATAACACGGTAAATCCAAGATGCCCTTTAACTTCCAAAGCAAAGACCTGACCTGAAGCCCTCTGCAGAGATCATTCAACCCCCCGGCGCCTCACCAATCTGCTGCGCCACCGCATCAACGGCAGCATTAAACTCAGCAGGACTGATGGCCAGTTCCAACAAGTCCTGCACGGCCCGGATGGCTTAAGGGCTTAAGGGGTCTCCACCACTAACTGACCATTACACACTGCCTCAGAAATCCTCAGAATGTATCACAATTTGTTGGCCCTGCTAAAGGACCTCTGGATTTCCACGGGTTTTCACGGGTTTTCAATATATTTCCACTCCCTACGGGTGCCTCCTTTCATTACATGTTCCTGCCCCCCAGGCTGAGTGCCCCCAGCTTGTTGGCTGGCGTTTGCCAACACCCCGGCCAAAGACTGTCCTCGGAATTTAGCGCCAATGTGAACATCAACCCACCAATCAACCAACCAAGCAAGCAAGCAATCAATCAAATCAAAACAATAAATGAATGAATTTGCCAAGCGACACGGCAAAACGCCCAAAACATCCCCACATACCATCGGACATCATTAAAAACACACACACACACAACGGCCAAGCATCTCATTGGCTCCGGCGTTTGAGGTCCAAAGCTCCACAGAGCTTTGTAAGGACGCCCTGCATCACCTGTGAGGTTCGTACCTGGGCAGGTCAGGCCCATGGCTGTTGCGTTGCATCTTAAGGTGGTGATACAAAGACGTATATATATATATATATATGTGTGTGTGTGTGAAGAGTATATGAAGACTGCGGCAGCGATTGAAGGCATTTAACATCATCTAACGCCAAGAAGCTCGTGTAGCACAGCCAGCTGCAGGAACGCGTGATGCGGACATTGGCACTCAAATCTGCGGAGGACATGTCGAAGTCTTGTTGAGTAAAGAGAGGGCCTTGGAAGCGCCCAGGAAGCGCCCAGCGTGGAATGTCTCCCTCCCAGCATCCCCAGCATCCCCAGCAGCACCCGCGACTGCGACTCAGTCCCAGGGACTCATTGTTTCCGGAGGTCCAGGCCATGCCATGTTGCCTGCCGTCAGGAAAGGGTATGAAGCTGGGGCATGCGACCGAGTTATTTGAAAAAAATTGGATCTATTGAAACATATTGAACTTGAAAGTCGAATCAGTCTGAACGCACTCAGGGCCTCAGCTTGCCAGAAAAAGGTAAGTCTGACTTGAGGCCCAGGGGTAAGGGGCGATGGAATAAAAACAGAATGATGCTGAGGATGCGGATGCTGCCGAATTTGCAGCCGGTGGCGACATGCCGACGGTGTCCCCGGGGGGGGATTGAGCCACGGCCAAACTGCTTGTCCAGCCAGCCGGGGGGTAGTTGAGTATGAAGTTTCATGCGATTGAAGATTCCAGCCCCCCCAGAAACTTTCTAAAGCAAGAGGGACTTCAGCTAGCAGAAGCTACTGTAGTTTTCGTGATTAAAGTCTTTTGATCAAACCGCCGCATCTGCAACCCTGTTGGTCCTGTAACGAAGATACTGTACACCATCTTGAATCCACGGAAACATTTTCATACGCGGGCATGGCACAGAAGCTTGCCAAGCAGGCATTCCCTGAAATGAATCTGTCATAACCCTAAAGGCCCTACTGTGCGTGGCCGCTACCACGCCCTACAGCGCACAAGGGTAACTTCCTGACGTTCCCTGGTGTAACTTCCTAGTTCTGCGCGCAACAGCAGGATTGTTGGAATGAAATATCATCAGCACCGCAATTGGTGTTGATATACAGAAAAAGGCCGTCATCGTTCTGATTTTCAAGACAGAGAATCTGGCACTGTTTCTGGCACCCATACACTTCTCCCGGGGATTGCAGCCCCCCAAAATTGTGCCTAATGGCACGAGCGTCCCATTGATGACCAGGTTCTCATTCAAAAGCAAGGTTGCATTGTAACCTGCGAACTGCAACTGCATATGTATGGAGGGCTCCCAATGCTGGGAATATTGAAAGGGCGCGGAGCGACTTCAAATGATATCTTTACCAAGTGGCCCAGAGGTACACGCATATTCCGATGGTCCTGCAGTGCATCTCTCTCTCTCTCTAAACTTTTTTGGAGGGGTCTTCTTGGGAGGCACACGGAAACCTCCAGGCCAGTGGTGTCTCAGTGTTGGTAGGTGAAGCGGCAGACTTCAGATTTCAACAGTTGAAGAGCAGCCACTATCTAGAACTCATGGCCTCAGCCAGTCCTGTGACCAGGTGCAAATATCTGGAGTGCCCAGCGCTGCCATCATCTCTTCCCCAAAGACTTCACTGCAGTTGGCTGCCTTGGAAAGAGTACCTCAGCTTGGGGATCTGTGGTACTGGACTCGGTATGGACGCAACTCCGGGAGTGTTTCTGTGGACCCTTGGGGCAAGACAAGTCGCGTTGGCTCCTCATCATAGGGTTATAAGTTATAAGTTATAAGATCCCTAATTGGTACATATTCTTTGACTATCTTTACCAAATGGGTTGATAGGATATGGGATCAGTTTCTTGCTCAAGAGACTCTGTCCGCTCAACCTGAGCTTGGAACTTACATGGTCCCAAATGTCATCTGTACTCAACCTGCTCAGCCGAAGAAAATCTAAAGCCCTACGCCTGCCCAGTAAATCCAATGCTTCAACTGACACCAGAATTACCGCGGCCTGGCTGGTTTGTCAAAGGTGAGCACGATGGCCTGACATAGCTCAGCACAATGCTTCAGGCAGTACATGGTAGGACTGATTAATTGCCTTTTGCACTAGAGGCCGCCAGGCTGAGGCGAATTGCACATTATCTGCAGCCAATGCGCTGAGAAGTTGTCAACAACTTCTGCACTAAGAAGGACCAGATCAACTAGCGTGGTTGTCGTGGACGAGGATGTTGAGCTGGTGGTACTTGTGGTTGTGGAAGATGAGGTGGTGGAACCTGCACCAAAGGAAAGCAAAGTGGTGGGAAGAATCTCGCTCCCCCCGGAAGGTTTGAACACGTTATAACAAACACCAAACAACGCGCGCGCTCTCTCTCTCTCTCACATCGCACAAACAGTCGTTGTGCTGGACCAAACAACATGAAAAGATGGCACCATCCATCAGCAAGGCACTGGTGGTAGAAGTGGTACTGCTCAAGGAGCTACTGGAACTTGTTGTGCTACTTGACGATGAGGAACTTGAGGAGCTTGATGTGGAAGTGCTGCTTGTTGTGGTGCTGGATGATGTAGTGGTGCTATTTGTGGTGCTGGAAGTGGATGAAGTGGATGAGCTGCTGCTGCTGGAGGATGTGCTGGAGGTACTGGAGCTTGAAGTGCTGGTATGGGTCCTTGTGGTGGATGTGGTGGAAGTTGAAGTGCTGGATGTGGTAGTGGACGTCGTGCTTGTAGTTGTCATTGATGTTGTGGTCGTGCTTGATGTGGTTGTGGTGTTAGTTGTGCTTGATGTACTGGTACTGCTGGTGGAGGAAGAAGAGCTAGAAGAACTCGTTGTGGAACTGCTCGACGTGCTTGTGCTGCTTGTAGAACTGCTGGAGCTACTTGTGCTTGATGATGAAGTACTTGAACTGGAACTGCTAGTGGTGCTTGTGCTACTGGAGGATGTGCTGGTACTGCTGGTTGAGGTGCTTGATGTGGACGAGCTGGAAGTACTTGTGCTTGATGTACTCGTACTTGATGTTGAAGTGCTAGACGTGCTTGTGCTGCTGGAGGATGTGCTGGTACTGCTGGTTGAGGTGCTTGAGGTAGAAGTTGAAGTTGTGCTAGTTGTGGTTACAGTGGTGCTGGTAGTGCTTGTGCTGGAACTACTGGTTGAGGTGCTTGAAGTGCTTGTGCTGCTTGTTGAGGTGCTGGACGTTGAAGTGCTGGATGTAGAAGTACTGCTTGTCGATGTGCTTGAGGTGGAAGTGCTAGAAGAACTTGTGCTGCTAGAGGATGTGCTGGTACTGCTGGTTGAGGTGCTTGATGTGGAAGTACTAGAAGTACTTGTGCTTGATGTGCTGGTACTTGATGTTGAAGTGCTTGAACTGGAAGTGCTTGAGGTTGATGTGCTGGAGGTACTTGTGCTAGTACTGCTGGTTGATGTGCTTGAGGTAGACGTTGAAGTTGTGCTAGTTGTGGTTACAGTGGTGCTGGTAGTGCTTGTGCTGGAACTACTGGTTGAGGTGCTTGAAGTGCTTGTGCTGCTTGTTGAGGTGCTGGACGTTGAAGTGCTGGATGTGGAACTGCTGCTTGTGGAGGTGCTTGAACTGGAAGTGCTTGATGTGCTTGTGCTGCTGGAGGATGTGCTGGTACTGCTGGTTGAAGTGCTTGATGTACTTGTGCTTGATGTGCTCGTGCTTGATGTTGAAGTACTTGAAGTGGAAGAGCTGGTGGTGCTTGTGCTGCTGGAGGATGTGCTGGTACTGCTGGTTGAAGTGCTTGATGTACTTGTGCTTGACGTTGAAGTACTTGAAGTGGAAGAGCTGGTGGTGCTTGTGCTGCTGGAGGATGTGCTGGAGGTACTTGTGCTAGTACTGCTGGTTGATGTGCTTGAGGTAGATGTTGAAGTTGTGCTAGTTGTGGTTACAGTGGTGCTGGTAGTGCTTGTGCTGGAACTACTGGTTGAGGTGCTTGAAGTGCTTGTGCTGCTTGTTGAGGTGCTGGACGTTGAAGTGCTGGATGTAGAAGTACTGCTTGTCGATGTGCTTGAGGTGGAAGTGCTAGAAGAACTTGTGCTGCTAGAGGATGTGCTGGTACTGCTGGTTGAGGTGCTTGATGTGGAAGTACTAGAAGTACTTGTGCTTGATGTGCTGGTACTTGATGTTGAAGTGCTTGAACTGGAAGTGCTTGAGGTTGATGTGCTGGAGGTACTTGTGCTAGTACTGCTGGTTGATGTGCTTGAGGTAGACGTTGAAGTTGTGCTAGTTGTGGTTACAGTGGTGCTGGTAGTGCTTGTGCTGGAACTACTGGTTGAGGTGCTTGAAGTGCTTGTGCTGCTTGTTGAGGTGCTGGACGTTGAAGTGCTGGATGTGGAACTGCTGCTTGTGGAGGTGCTTGAACTGGAAGTGCTTGATGTGCTTGTGCTGCTGGAGGATGTGCTGGTACTGCTGGTTGAAGTGCTTGATGTACTTGTGCTTGACGTTGAAGTACTTGAAGTGGAAGAGCTGGTGGTGCTTGTGCTGGAGGTACTTGTGCTGGAGGTACTTGTGCTGGAGGTACTTGTGCTGGTACTGCTGGTTGATGTGCTTGAGGTAGACGTTGAAGTTGTGCTAGTTGTGGTTACGGTGGTGCTGGTAGTGCTTGTGCTGCTTGAGGATGAGCTGGTACTGCTGGTTGAGGTGCTTGATGTCGAAGTGCTAGAAGTACTTGTGCTTGACGTGCTCGTACTTGATGTTGAAGTGCTGGACGTGGAAGTGCTGGAGGTGCTTGTACTACTGGAGGATGTGCTGGTACTGCTGGTTGAGGTGCTAGAAGTACTTGTGCTTGACGTACTTGTGCTCGACGTTGAAGTGCTGGACGTGGAAGTGCTGGACGTGCTTGTGCTGCTGGAGGATGTGCTGGTACTGCTGGTTGAGGTGCTTGATGTGGAGGAGCTGGAAGTACTTGTGCTCGACGTTGAAGTGCTGGACGTGCTTGTACTGCTTGAGGATGTGCTGGTACTGCTGGTTGAGGTGCTTGATGTGGAGGTGCTGGAAGTACTTGTGCTTGATGTACTCGTACTTGATGTTGAAGTGCTGGAGGTGCTTGTGCTACTGGAGGAGGTGCTGGTACTGCTGGTTGAGGTGCTTGATGTGGAGGAGCTGGAAGTACTTGTGCTCGACGTTGAAGTGCTGGACGTGGAAGTGCTGGAGGTGCTTGTACTACTTGAGGATGTGCTGGTACTGCTGGTTGAGGTGCTTGATGTGGAGGAGCTAGAAGTACTTGTGCTTGATGTTGAAGTGCTGGACGTGGAAGTGCTGGACGTGCTTGTGCTGCTGGAGGATGTGCTGGTACTGCTGGTTGAGGTGCTTGATGTGGAGGAGCTGGAAGTACTTGTGCTCGACGTTGAAGTGCTGGACGTGCTTGTACTGCTTGAGGATGTGCTGGTACTGCTGGTTGAGGTGCTTGATGTGGAGGTGCTGGAAGTACTTGTGCTTGATGTACTCGTACTTGATGTTGAAGTGCTGGACGTGGAAGTGCTGGAGGTGCTTGTGCTACTGGAGGATGTGCTGGTACTGCTGGTTGAGGTGCTTGAAGTACTTGTGCTCGACGTTGAAGTGCTGGACGTGGAAGTGCTGGAGGTGCTTGTACTGCTGGAGGATGTGCTGGTACTGCTGGTTGAGGTGCTTGACGTGGAAGTGCTTGAAGTGCTTGTGCTTGATGTACTTGTGCTCGACGTGGAAGTGCTGGACGTGCTTGTACTGCTGGAGGACGTGCTGGTACTGCTGGTTGAGGTGCTTGATGTGGAAGTACTAGAAGTACTTGTACTTGATGTACTTGTACTTGATGTTGAGGTGCTGGACGTGGAAGTGCTGGAGGTGCTTGTACTGCTGGAGGATGTGCTAGTACTGCTGGTTGAGGTGCTTGATGTGGAAGTGCTTGAAGTACTTGTGCTACTCGTTGATGTGCTGGAAGTACTGCTTGACGATGTTGAAGTGCTGCTTGTGCTGCTACTAGTGGTGCTGGTACTAGTGGTGCTGGAGCTAGTACTAGTACTGCTCGTGCTTGAGCTGCTGGTACTAGTGCTGCTCGTGCTTGAGCTGCTGCTACTTGTGCTCGAGGTAGAGCTACTTGATGTGGAGCTGCTTGTTGTAGAAGTACTTGACGAGCTGGTGCTGGTCGATGAAGTGCTGCTACTGGTCGTTGAAGTGCTAGAAGTACTGCTTGAAGATGTTGAAGTGCTGCTGCTAGATGTGCTCGTGCTGCTCGTACTAGTACTGCTCGTGCTCGTGCTTGAGGTGCTGGTACTAGTGCTGCTCGTGCTTGAGGTGCTGGTACTTGTGCTCGAGGTAGAGCTACTTGATGTGGAGCTGCTAGTTGTGGAAGTACTTGACGAGCTGGTGCTTGTCGATGAAGTGCTGCTACTGGTTGTTGAAGTACTGGAAGTGCTGCTGGAAGATGTTGAAGTGCTGCTGCTAGACGTGCTCGTGCTGCTGGTGCTAGTACTGCTCGTGCTTGAGCTGCTGGTAGTGGTACTGCTCGTGCTTGAGCTGCTGGTACTAGTACTGCTCGTACTTGAGCTGCTGGTGCTGCTACTTGTACTGCTCGTGCTTGAGCTGCTGGTGCTGGTACTAGTACTGCTCGTGCTTGAGCTGCTCGTACTAGTACTGCTCGTGCTTGAGCTGCTGGTACTTGTGCTCGAGGTAGAGCTACTTGATGTGGAGCTGCTTGTTGTAGAAGTACTTGACGAGCTGGTGCTTGTCGATGACGTGCTGCTAGTAGTCGTTGAAGTGCTAGAAGTGCTGCTGGAAGATGTTGAAGTGCTGCTGCTAGACGTGCTCGTGCTGCTGGTACTAGTACTGCTCGTGCTTGAGCTGCTGGTACTGGTACTGCTCGTGCTTGAGCTGCTGGTACTAGTACTGCTCGTGCTTGAGCTGCTGGTACTAGTACTGCTCGTGCTTGAGCTGCTGGTGCTGGTACTAGTACTGCTCGTGCTTGAGCTGCTCGTACTAGTACTGCTCGTGCTTGAGCTGCTGGTACTTGTGCTCGAGGTAGAGCTACTTGATGTGGAGCTGCTTGTTGTAGAAGTACTTGACGAGCTGGTGCTTGTCGATGACGTGCTGCTACTAGTCGTTGAAGTGCTGGAAGTGCTGCTGGAAGATGTTGAAGTGCTGCTGCTAGACGTGCTCGTGCTGCTGGTACTAGTACTGCTCGTGCTTGAGCTGCTGGTACTGGTACTGCTCGTGCTTGAGCTGCTGGTACTAGTACTGCTCGTGCTTGAGCTGCTGGTACTAGTACTGCTCATGCTTGAGCTGCTGGTGCTGGTACTAGTACTGCTCGTGCTTGAGCTGCTCGTACTAGTACTGCTCGTGCTTGAGCTGCTGGTACTTGTGCTCGAGGTAGAGCTACTTGATGTCGAGCTGCTTGTTGTAGAAGTACTTGATGTGCTTGTGGTAGTGGTCGTTGAAGATGTGGTGCCTTGCTGCCGACTGGGGGATTTAGTACATGGAAAGAGTGTGCTAAACAGCCGTTCCTGGTGCTTTTGATGCCATGAATCGTGGGACGTGTGCATAGAATGATTCAAACGCACCATATGCATACCATGCGGCTTGTTGTCGCCGAGACCTTAGCGACTCCAGGAAGCTTCTGGCCCTTGAACAAGGTGAGTTTGTCCAAAAGAGGTGGGGGTTCCCGTAGAATTGCCATTGTTTATGATGATAAACTGATAAACCATGAAATTTTGAGACATCCTATTTTCAGACAAACCTAGGTCTGTCTGGGGTTGCGTATATTACCATCACTATCTGAGCATAGGCTTTGACAATTTGAGAAATCAAATCAAACCATCACTGACTCGGACCTTGCGCGATTCAGTCTATGAAATCTGAAATCTGCTTTAATAGATCGTTGATCCTTTCAGAATGCTGGTCACCAGGCATGCTCCGTCTATAAAAATCAGCATCGTCAGCAAGCACAAGGCTACCGGTGCTTCAACCAGGTCCAAAGGTCCCTTGCACTGGCTGGCGAACTATGTGCCAATGGGTATCTAAAAAAAGGGTATACCGTATGTATACCCCCCCCATTGATGGCCACGTTAACAAATTGATATGATGATAAACCATGATAAACCATGATAAACCATGATAAACCATCAAATTTTAAGGGACACCCTTGTTTAGACAAAGCCAAACGGTGCCACCCAGTGGTTTTTTTGCCTGAAATCTTCCTAGCTGCTTGTTCCATCACGGCAGCCAACAGGATCACAGATGCCAACCATGCAATCGAATGAGGCACCTGAAACGCAACAACACAATGCAGCACGCATTTCTGGCAGAACATGATCGGAGACAGATTTCCAAAAGCTGGGCAGTTTCTGGTGCTCAATGACATCCAATGACATCCAAATGACATCGTCATGTCAAATCTGAGTGCTGGTCCTGCATTGTTCAGCCGTTCGCTGGGACCGGATGGCTCTACTGTGCCACGCACAGGTGGTGTGGACACAGCAGTTTTTCCGTCGCTTCGGTGTTTTCTCAGTCTTAGTTTGGCTGTTTGAAAGTCTCTGTCAAACAATCTAACGTGTCAAAGTGTATGAGATTGTCATGGCATCAGTCAGTTTCACTTTTTGTCTCTTGTTTCTTGGGAAATTTAAACAGCACCTTGAAACCTGGAGCCAGAGTATTAAACGTTTGCCATCGCTAGGTTGCAATGATTGAGGCATGCGATCGCACAAACTATAAGTCTGCGTCCAGTGATGTCCATGCATGTTGTGCGTGCATACCATATTTTACGGTGTGTATACATACATACATACATACATGCATGCATGCATGCATACGTACATTACAATAAAATACATTACAATACAATACATTACAATACAATACGTTACAATACAAGACATTACAATACAATACACTACAATACAATACATTACAATACAATACATTACAATACAATACAATACATTACAATACAATACATTACAATACAATACATTACAATACAATACATTACAATACAATACATTACAATACAATACATTACAATACAATACATTACAATACACTACATTACAATACATACATACATTACAATACATACATACATTACAATACATACATACATTACAATACATACATACATTACAATACATACATACATTACAATACATACATACATTACAATACATACATACATTACAATACATACATGCATTACAATACATACATACATTACAATACATACATACATTACAATACATACATACATTACAATACATACATACATACATTACCATACATACATACATTACAACACATACATACATTACAACACATACATTACATTACAATACATACATTACATTACAATACATACATTACATTACAATACATACATTACATTACAATACATACATTACATTACAATACATACATTACATTGCAATACATACATTACATTACAATACATTATTACATTACAATACATACATACATTACAATACATACATACATTACAATACATACATACATTACAATACATACATACATTACAATACATTAATACATTAATACATTACATTACAATACATTAATACACTACAATACATTAATACATTACAATACATTAATACATTACAATACATTAATACATTACAATACATTAATACGTTACAATACGTTAATACATTACAATACATTAATACATTACAATACATTAATACATTAATACATTGATACATTACAATACATTAATACATTACAATACATACATACATTACATTACATTAATACATGACATTACATTAATACATTACATTGCATTAATACATTACATTACATTAATACACTACATTACATTAATACATTACATTACATAAATACATTACATTACATAAATACATTACATTACATTCATACATTACATTACATTAACACATTACATGACATACCATTGCATTACGTACCATTACATTACATACCATTACATTACATACCATTACATTACATACCATTACATTACATACCATACCATTACATACCATACCATTAGATACCATTACATACCATTACATACCATTGCATACCATTACATACCATACCATTACATACCATTACATACCATTACATACCATTACATACCATTACATACCATTACATACCATTACATACCATTACATACCATTGCATACCATTACATACCATTACATACCATTACATACCATTACATACCATTACATACCATTCCATACCATTACATACCATTGCATACCATTACATACATTACATACCATTACATACATTACATACATTACATACAGTACATACAGTACATACATTACATACATTACAGACATTACAGACATTACAGACATTACAGACATTACATACATTACAGACATTACATACATTACAGACATTACATACATACATTACATTAATACATTCCATTAATACATTCCATTCATACATTCCATTAAATTGCATTACATTACATTGCATTACATTACATTACAATACATAACATTACATTACATTACATTACATAACATTACATATCATTACATAACATTACATTACATTACATAACATTACATACATACATACATACATATATATATATATGCATATATATATATACAGTATATTACATATATATATATATAACTCTATGTATATATATATATATTAAAAAAATGTGTGTGTGTGTCATATCTCATATGTACATTTGTGCGTGTGAGCCTTTCAAGCTTTGCTATCGTAGCCATGTCTTGAGCGGTTGGTATCACGATGTACCACGGTGTTCTCACACATTCCACCCTGTCCATTGTCTTTTTCTAACCTTCGAAGTGTGAACATCAAGTCCGACAAGCTTGCAGCACAACGGGCGGGCCTTGCCCAAAGGGTAAAGACTGCAGGGACAGAAACAACGAGCCGGCAGCAAAAAAATCATTGAAAAATGCGATCCATGTGCCCTTGAAGGAGCCCATCAGTGGCTCGAGAAAAGTTCCGCTATACATGCTACCTTCTTAGAAGGTGGTAAAACCCTCGCCAGGAGGCAAGAGTTGTCCAGGCTGTAAAACAGTTGCGAATCCTCTGCCTACCGCTGAATCAACCATCAGTGACTACCAAGCCATTTCGACCATGGATTGAGTGCCCCGGAACGATTTCAAGAATAGTCCATGAGCCAGCATCATGAACATCATCGTTATCATCATCCACATCATCATCATCACCATCATCAATATCAGCACCAGCTGTGGGGATGTGCGCTAAGGTTGAGGTCAGCAGAGGGCATGTCCGGAGGTTGCACGGGACATCCCTTGTTGATTAATGGCTTCCCATGTTGGATCAGCCCCAACCTCCATTAGACCAGATCGTATAACCTCATGCGACATCATCTCATCAACAAGCAGGGACTTATATGCACTGGTGGTACCCTTGAAGAAATAAAGCCTTGAGCCAGGATGTTTGCGGCGGCTTGGCTGTAAAGGGACATCAGCATGTTCGAGCTTATCATTGCAATCGTTGCAGTCTTGATTTCTGGCGTAGCAAGCTTGCGATTCCAACAAATCATAGCGCAAGTCTACTTCTCAAATCACACCATCAACCTCCAGGGCATTCTTGTTTCTTTTGAATTTTGGGCTCGAAAAAGTGACTGGCACAGCTCCCGAGGCCCGCAGCTATGCTTTTTCAAGGCAGTCGCTCACGGAAAGCAATGTCTGTGCTTGTTCCAAACAGCACTGAAGCTGCAAAGTGCTTGAAGCCTTTCACCATGAATTAGCTACCAGAACTGTGAACCACCGCGATCCATCTTTCGACTCGACAATGACAAACAGTATAGCAAGAGGCCTACTTGAAAATCATTAGAGGTGTGATTGGAACCAGAAATGTTCATGGTGAGCAAAGGCCGCCGTGTCAGACTCGGCTTTGGATGTCCAAGGGTCGCTGAAGCGAGCCAAGATCCAAAAAAGACATAAAATAGAAACAAAAATATTAGTTTAAGAATACTAGTTTCCAGATGTTTCCAGTAACAGTAAAAGAATATCACTATAATAAACAGTAGTTCTTCCATGACGATAATATGGAGGGCTGGACCTCGGTGTCACTTGATGTCACTTGGTGTAGGTGGTCTTGTAGGCATCGATGCATCCCATACAAACATAGTGCGTACCACCTCCACAGCGATAGCCATCGGCCAGTCTGTAGTTGCAAATGCCGCAGTTCTCTGCGGGCGGGTTCGCTACCTGGAACCATATGTGTAACATTGTGTAACTGCGTAATCCCATGCGGCTGCCCATTTGAAAGTGTGATCAAGATATTCAAACTGTTTTTTTCTTTAATATATTTCTATATATTTCTAGCTTGGAAGGCATACCGGACAAGCCATACTATGCCTCTCTTTGTGTGCCTGCCTATTTGCCTGTTGACCTCCGATCGATTCCACCCCGGCTGTAGATTTTTTTTCCGAGGTACATTGAGTTCGAACCACTCGAAATTTGCCGGACAAAGGCCCAAGCATTCTAACGCATCCAAGGTCGACATTTCCTCCACCACTTTCTCTCCCTCTTGCTGTGGCAACTTCCTCGGAGAAAAAAATCCAAGTCAGAAACGAATCTATATAAATAGGACAAGCTACGAATCGGGGACGGTTTCACAGGGTTATTATTTACATTTATTGACATTTAATAACCATTATTAATATATTATTAACATTTAATAACCACTTACTAAGTAGGATGATCCTCCAAGTAGGTCAATAGTTGTTTGATGTTTTTTGTGCATTGAGGATCATTGAGGTGTGCCAGTCCAAGCAGCTCTTCCTCTTTGACCTCCTCCTTGGGTCTTTCTCGGTTCTTGCCTTTTGCTACTGCTTTTGCAACTGCCTCTGCCGAGGTGAAAAGAGTTTCAATTCGCATGCCGTACTCTTCCCAGAACTGATACTTCCTATATTTGGGTGTTTGAAATGGGAATACCCATAAAATTGCAGTTTAGTGGTGGATATGGGTATCCCAATTTGGTGATGGTAACCCATCATCTCCCCATTTCAAAACATCGTGTGGACCCATCGCGGCCTTCACGCGATCCGCACTTGGACCGGAATCCCCAGGCATGTCTTCATCCAGGGGGTCATCCATTGCCTGTCTGAGACATTGATAGGTCAGATAGGTCCAGATAGGTGATACATCAATGATACGTGCTGAATACAGGCTGCATCATTAAAACCTAAAATCATCGCGCTACCAAAATGGCCATGTGGGGGCAAATCAGTCAAAATTCCAGGAAAACAGAGATATTCTAGGATTATATATGGATTATATCATGTTTAGTATTACAATGTATTACAGTAACATGTATTAAGCCATGAAATTCTTGGGGTATCCCAATGACGAGCCCCAAAAAATCATCAGCGATTCTGAGCTCCAGGCGCCCTCCATTCCTCGGAGGAGCTCCTGGGCCATCTCTCGCGCCAGAGATCCAACCGCCTGCGCAGCTTTCCATGGGTCTCCCATATGGTTTGTTCTGGGAAATCCTGTTAAAAAATGTTAAAAATGAATGATTTGGGGATACCCGGGATACCCCGAATGTTTAAGAAACCTCCAAACATTTCCTCACATGCTCAATCAAAGTCAGTATGTTTATCCCTGGCTGATCCGTTATTACCGTTATTACCATTCCAGAGTTTCAACCTGACAAAGAACCAAAGCAGCTCAAGTGCCTCAAATCTAAGAGGATGCCATACCTAGACCTATAGCCCACTCAGGCGCCTCCTGCCAGGCAGGCCGTGTTCGCTTGGGCTGCCGAGCTCGACCGGTTTCCCCACCTGCAGCTTGTGGATGAAACGACGACATTTCAGGTGCCATCACAGCCAGAAAACAACCAGCAGGATGGTCGCACTGCTCAGACCATCTTAGTGAATCTTCTTTATTCATTTTATATAACCCTCACAGTAAAGATAGTAAAGCAAAAGCGCAAAAGCGCCCCAACGTTGGCAACAAGTTCAGTTTTGAGCCACAGGAGTTGGCCATCAAAATTGGAGTTGGCCATCAAGATTTGAACACGTCTCAACCTTGCAAATTAGATTCGGGCTATACCCAACCAAAGAAGAAATATCATGTTACATATCTGTGCATCATTTTCTTGGCTATATAGTGTTACCCTCTGGTAAACGAACAGTTTGCCATGGAAAATCGCCATTTTCTGAATAGGTATATAGATAATGCATAGTTAGATCAACTATCAATAGGCATCAATAGGCCATGTTCAATAGCTATTCAGCTATTCAATAGCTATGTCCGTTACCAGAGGCTACATCCAACCGATCTCCACCGATTCTCGATGTCGACCTGGCGAGGGCAGATCCGGCGGGCGGGTCTTCCGCAGAGCTTCCTGCGGCAGTCCGATGAGGAAATCCTCGGCGATCCTGAAACGATGCCATTGGTATGGTGGGAAACCCTTGAGAGATAAGACTATCATGGGAATAATGATATTAATCATTGATACCAATGGAAAATGACACCCATCTTCCATTCATGAAACAAATGGTGGTATCAAATGGAACTAAAACGGACAATCAATGGGAAATAACATGGATAATAAATGGAGAAGAAATGGGAAACACGTCCATTTGATGCGTTTTCATTGTGTTCCTGGCATGGTCCCTTTTGGGCGTTACGATACACCCATGCCCATAGTTTCCTTTGTCATTGGCTTTACCAGATCAATATGTTAAGTCAAGTCCCATGCAATTCTGCTGTATCACTCGGCTCACCAGCTTGTCACACTATCTAAGCACGTTTCAGATTCCTCCCATCAGCATGCTTACCATACTCCCATGCTCCCACGCTTCATACTTGTTTTGCTGATTTTTCCTCATAAAATGTCATCGTTTTCCCATCATTTTCCAGGTGTTTTTGCATCATTTTCCCCAAATATGTTTCCCCATTTTCATGATTTTCATCCCATCCCTTCTTATCCCATGTTCCCCCAATTTTCCCCAGATTTTCCCCACCATCCCCTTCTTCCAAGGCGCAGTTCCCGACATTGGCGGCCACTTACCGCCTGTTGGCTCTGGGGATCCCCTAGCCGTGTGGCCAGGCGCCGGAAGGCCCTTTCCGCCAAGGTCACCGCGAGGCCTGCTATGGCATGACGTCTTTTTTGGATGGATTTCATGGGATTTTGGGTGTTTTGATAGATGGATTTTGGGTGTTTTGATAGATGGGATCTCAGAAGTTTATGGGATTTGAAAATTGGGTATTGGAAGCTAAGATTGTAGATAGATAAGATTAAAGATTACGAAATGAGGTGGTTGGATGAATAAGAAATCATGGTAGATGAAAGAAACATAAGGAAACACTGTATCTGATCGTTCTGATCTGCCTCTCTGTCTCTGTTTGTGCCTGCAGTTCTACAGGCTTTGTGGCTGAGCCACCCATCCGAAAACTACAGGAGTTTCTTGTCCTTTGAGGGGGCGGAAATCATATCGGAAACCATCTGCTGGTTGTTTCGCATATCCCTGGTGGGGGGAAGTATCCGAGGAATTGAACGCATCCACCTAGCCAACCTCTGGTGTATGTGACCGACACGGACTGCACTACCACTGGTGGTTCCAATGTAGTTCTCATTGACCAATTCAAATCCCAAACGTTTGCTTTTGATTGCTGGCATCAGTGGGGTCAAACTCATTCTTGTACCTTTCATAACCCAGGACTGCGCCTCCATTATGCTGTGAAATCTCCGAGCCGTGCTGAGATCTGATGTGCTGGGCCAAGGCATCCACCAAGCCAGGAGCAAAGATCAAATTGAAGCGATCCTGTGCAGCATGTTCGCCTCGGAGCAGCCGAAGCCATCCACAAAGCACAAATACAATCCATATTCATATTACAGGTTACGTGTATGTACGTATGCTAGACAAAGCCAGGGACAAGTATGCATATTAGGGAACATTATATGCATATAATATGTGTGTTAATTATTATATATAATTATATATATATAAATATATATGTGTGTGTCTGTGTGTGTGTTAATACCTATACGCACACATTAAGAGGGATGTGTGTGTGTGTGCTCGCGCCCATATGCTACCCCCCAACTATCGCGACATCTTCCCATCTTCAGCAAATCAAGGTGCAAATCTCTGCCAACTCCTCAGGACTGTAATCCTCCAGCTGCAACACCAGGGAGAAGCGTCGTCGCAGCCCTGGATCTGCATCCATCAACACCTGCAGGGGACCCAAGTTTGAGCCAGCGAAACTTTGCAGAATCTGAGAGAACGAGTCAAGGACCGTTGAAAGATACATGTTGAATTGCTTGTTCAACAGGGCATGATTGATGCACAGCCACTTAGGGATGAGTCTTGGCAGAAAAAAGTTGGCAAAATCTCCAACACTGCGACAGGACCGTGCAGGTCGTTGCCCATCTGAGAGCCAAACGTCCATCTTGTCCGCGTACCCAGCTAAGACCACCTCACGTCTTAAGATTCGAATCCATGCTCATCTGGTTTGGGATGACAGGCGTTCCAATCTTTGTGGGTAAAGCGCCCGTCAGAAGAATGGTTTTTCCAACAATCCTGCTGAGTCGCCAGAAGTCCAGTGCGATGATTCTCAACCTGGCCCAGCAGAAATCCCACTTTCTATCCCTCATTGATAGATGGTTTTCCCAATGAAATGTCCATTTATGCAAGATTTTCCTAGCAAATCATCCATTTTCCATGGTTTTTTCTCTGAAAATCTGGTGTCACATCGCACTTGGCACCTCCGTCAGCAGAGTGCGGATCACTTCACCACTGAACTTGTCACCTCCTCGGTCTGCCAAGGCATAGGCCTCACAGGCTGCGACAGGGGCATACGGGGCCTCTGGCAACAACTCCTGTTGATGGAAGAAATCCTGCACCAGTTGATAGATGGTTTATCCCATTATTCATATGGTTTCAACAATCCCAGGTGGTGCAGGATTTCTTCCATCCACAGTATCCCTTCTGGTGAGTACTTCCAAGTCATCCGATTTCGGATCCGCAAGGGACCAAGTAGTCGCAACTTCCAGGATGATTGAGCAAAATGTTGAAGGATGGTCTTGCATTAAAATCACAGACATTTCGGTGACGCCCTGAGAAATTGACCCAAGGCCTCGTCTATGAACAGGCAGCCACCCATGGCATCGCCTTGGCTCCAACAGGTTTTTTTTTTTCTGCAGAACCATTTCTGGCAAAGGCTTCAACCCAGAACATTTCAATTCATGACCAAAAATGGAGATGCAAATGAAAAACATGACTCATGACCCATGAAATTGTTGATGTGAAAGCAGAGGGCCCCCTTTGCGAAAGTTGTCGCTTCGAGTCACGAACCGCCTCTGCGACAGTGGGCGCTGTCTGGCCCACGAACTGGCCTAATGTGTGGAAACAGTGTGCTGGGCACAGCTCAAGTGACTAGCAACTGGGCCACCACATGCCACATGTGCAAGTTCTTGTGTCAGGGCAGATATATCGGTGTACCCCAGAACCTGAAAATATCTCATGATGATCACTATTTCTGTTACCATTCTGATGTTGATATCAATGTCATTACTTAATCATTCTCAACTATTGTCAAGACTATTGTTATTCCTACTATCAATTCTTGTCAATTGTTGTTATGGTAGGATCACTCATGTGGGTAAAACAATAATTAATCATCCCCCAGCCATCGCCATTTTTATAGGTATAAACCATTCCCAAATGGGTGTTTTATGACATTGTTTTACCCACATTTGTTTCGTTTGGATCATCCAGAAACCCCCATCTGGCCATGGCCCACCTTTCAATGCCAAGGCGTTGCGCTCCACAAAGGTGTCTCGGGGCAAAACGCCATGCGCATAGAGGTAGCGCCCGATGAGTCGTGCCACCGTGGTCTTGCCGGTCCTTGGGATATGAAAAACTGCAGTCATTGGCTTGATTTTGCAGGGTGATCTTGGGAACATCTACAGGAAACCATGGTTTGTATCAATAAAATCCAATAAATATTAGGCATTATAAGCTTCCCTTCATCCAATTCTGGGAAGACTGGTGAGTCTGAAAGATCTGAACGATATGGCTTTGGGTCAAAGTTGGGTAGCCCAAAAATGGATGGGTCATTCTAATTCCAAACAAGGACCAAAATCTATCCTCAGTCTCTAAAAACGTTTGACTGTTTGACCCATACATACGCATGATATGCACGTCAAATTCAAGGGCTTCAGGCACTTCTGGGACCAACAAGGGCTTAAACCTCTGGCACATGGACGACATGACCTAAAAGATGGAATGTATACATACATATATACATATATACATATATATATATATATATGTTGACAATGTTGACCATGTCTGACCAATGTTTTTCCAAGCATCCCTGGATTTCCCGTAAGGCGCAGGTTGAGGCTGGTCTGCAAGACACGAGGGTCCCCACCTCGCTCCACAAAGGCCACCGTGCGGGAGAGCTCCTTGAAGAATGCCTTCACATTGGCCATGCCTCGAGTCCATTGGATTTTTATGGATTCTCCAATGGACATTGGACATTCCTCGTTTTTTTGATATGTTTTTTTTCACCATGAAAATGGAAGGTTCCTGTAAAGTTCCCTTCCAAGTCTGGGACGTTCACTTTGGCCATTTTGGGTCCCCAGGTTAGACGCTGATCTCGCTGAGTGTCCAGTAAGACGCTCCACCTCTTGTTGCACCCGTTTTCGCATCTCGGGGTCGCCCATGGTCGGGCGCTCCTAGGGCCATAACCCAACTGCAGTGGGAACCTTTTTGCATACCTGGGCATGTTCTGCACTTGAGAAAGGATCTTCCAACCAAATGGCTTTGTTTGTTGAACATATCGTGCCCCGACATTTTATGATATTTATATATATATATCAATAGTGATTCATCATTATTCTCCCATGTTTCCTGAAGAAATGCCGTTTTGGTGTACCCCAATGTGAGACAAGCCCTATCTCCAACCCATCATAGTCCTCGATGCCAAAGTCGGCAGCCGTGAAGACCGCCACCTCAGCCTTCACCTGCTGAATGCTCACACCACCTCGGGTTGGCTGAATCCCTGGTGGCATCACTTGCTCAATTTACCTGGTACATCCTGGTACCATGACTTCGAATAAGATTTCATTTGAAAAGCTTTATGAGTCAAGGGTCCACGAAAATTCCTCCCATTTCGTCCCTAGCTTTATGAAAAGGGCCAACGATTATGCAGCCCATTTCGTCCCTAAGTGACCATTGCACATCCAAACGATATATAATAATATATAGAACTATACGTATATATATTCCCACGATATATTCCATATATATTCCCAACATAGGTTTTGATCCATTGGTTGCCTTAAAGTGAAGACATCTTAGTCGCCGACTTCTCTGCCGCATCAGGGATGGCCCATCGCTGGGCGCACTTGCCGTGCCTGCTATGCGGCTCATCTGAGCAAAGGCCTGGCGCAGTTGAAAGACAGATTTGGCTATTAATCATCACAGTTGATTAATAACAAATATTAATAACGATGATGATGATGATGATGATGATGATGTAGTCATTATAGTATAATGATAATATCAAGTATTGAATAAAATGACCAAATGATGGAATTAATCAAGTCGGCTTTGCGGGCCCATTTCAAATTGCTGCGCTGGCATGGCTTCTCATGCACCAAATTTCCACACACCCTGCCTCTGGGTATTTCGAGACGATCCGCACGATCTGTCTATCCAAAGCTTTTTCCTTGGGCGCGTTAGGCATCAAAATCTATTGTGCATGCCAGCAACCCGAAGACTACAGGTCCGACACCTCAACCAAGCAACCGTCAAATTCACGGAGAGTCCAGCATTTTGCTGAGCAATGTCCTTGGATGCACGGCCGAAAGGTCTCCTTGCGCCGGCGCCTTTCGCAAAACAGCGCAAGCACTTTCACTTTTTTGTTCAACATATATATCATGACCATATCACAAGCAGCATATCTGCAGAAACGGCTGACTGTTTTGCTGATTGAAGCCATGCATCTCTCCAATAGAAATTTTCGATGTGCTTCTCCAGCTTTTCTCTTAGGCCAGGTTCGAACTCGCGCTGATGTCGATGCCTCGAGCAACATTTCACCGCAGTGTCAAGGAAAATCTAGGGAAAACCTCCATTTTAAATCAAAGATGTGTTTCAGTGGTTACCCATAGTTATTCCATGTTATCCCATTTCACCCAAACCAATTCGATTGAATATGTTCCAACATACTGTACATGACATGACTATGACCATCGTGGCTTCTCTTCCCGCCTGGCGCACATCTCACAGATCTCCCCCAACTCTGCAGGGGTGTAGTCATCCAAATGTAAGCGATTGGGGAAGCGCCGTGCAAGGCCTTCCTGGTGCCGCGAATGCCATGGTTGTTTGGGATGAAGGTGTGCTTCCAACTTCAGTACCTAGCTTCCACCCAGTGCCCCGGGCCTCTGCACGCATCAGTCTCCCCATCTTTTCCTGCAGAAGGCGATTGAAGCCATTCTGCTTTAGCAGCTATAGCACAAGGTATGCAAGTTCAGCCTGAGTTTTCCGACTTTTGAGCCATTTCATACATCTCCAAACCATCTTGACCACGAGACATCAGCAACAGGGCAGATGCTTGCCTTGTACCCCGCAAGCACCACCATCAGGTTCGTGCGGTGATTCTCCACTTCAGTGAGAAGAGTCCTCAAGTTGGGCAATTTCAATGCTGCAGTTCTGTGATTGGAGCTGTGTCAACTGGTGGGACCTCAACAAATTTACAACATCTATGGGAAACCCTGGGGATCTGGTAGGATAAGCCCAACTCGCCCGCCTCAGCGCTTCCTGGGAAAAGGCGTCGCCCGCCCCACCCACACCAGCAGCTGAATCCATCAGGGCATAGGCTTCGTCCAGAAACAAACCTGGGCTTCACGATGGATCATCCTTTTCCCACCGGAAATTGCCTTTGTTATTGTAGTTTCCATTGGGCAAATCCTGAAGCGGGCCACCACACCAATGCCAAGGAACACCCGCCCATGGCCTCCTGCACAGCCGCCTGAAAGAGTCCATGATGATTTCGAAAGTAGAATTTATTCAAAATACTGCACCTGGAACAAAAAATACTACCACCGACATGCGATTTGAATACAACAAGACTAAAGCAAATACTAAAACATTTGGGTTTTCAGCAAACCACCAGACTTACCACACCCGTTCCATGAATTCTGGCCTTCACACGAGGTGCTGTGCCACCCATGAACTCGGCCTTTAGCTCAAGTCCTTGGCTTATGAATTTCAATTCTCATCTCGTGCACACTTCCTATCAGAGCTGTTTTGGGGTGACAGTGCAGGGAAAGGATTCTTCAATCTATGTCAAGTTCCACGGATTCTTAGGGGACCATCATTCCAATCTCCTTATCACAGCCAAACAGTTCAACACAAAAGGGGTATCAAATCAAAACTCTCTCTCTCTCTCTCCATCGCCATCCCGAGGGTTCAGCTAAGGCTGTATCAAATCAACCATGTCTGTGGTTTTTTATGCCTCCCGTGCGGCTTTGCGCTGCCAAGAAGCCATTCTTTTCAACAAAGCTGTCCTTTGGCAGGACTCCGTAGGTGTGGAAGAAACGCGCCAGCAACCGTGCAAAGGTGGTCTTACCCGTTCCGGGATTGCCAGTGATAATGATATTTAAACACACTCGAAGATCACTGCGCGTGCCGGTCTGCTCCACAAAGGCAACCTTTTGACGGACCTGCGGGGCGTTGGACAGCGACCTGTTTGGAACCAGGGCGTCTGAAAGCATCGAGTCCATCGAGCCCCAAAAGTGCAAAAACAAGGGACCAGTAAACGCAATGACTGGACAAAATCTTCGTTTCTTACTTCTACCATGACTTCACCATAGGTGGACGTGATACAGCTGAAACAGAAATGGTCACTCCAAGCACAGCAGGCCCTCTAGCTGCTGAAGCCTGTGCAAACCACTCCTTCGCCTTCGTCATGCCAATCAGATTGCCTCAGTAGGGTTCGAGCAGCTTTGCTGAGTAGCAGCCCGGTCACGAGCATGAACTACATGGGACTTTCCAATCAGCAAACGATGCTTTTGGCACTGCTTAGCTATCTGGGTTCAGCAAAACGTGATATTCACATCTCTCGATCTGAGTGTTCTGTTCTATCAGCCTATATAACGAATGGAAATAAAGCAATGAATGGAAATGAATGGAATACGTTTAAACAAGATGCCAACCTCTTCATCAATGGCATCCTTTTGCTCACGACCCTCTCCAATGGGAGCGCCTACCTTCGCAGAGTTCATTGCAGTCGGAAAAGCTTTGACAACATCTTGGAAAAGCACATAAATGTCAAACTGAATGCTACCTAAGCAAAGGCAAGAATCAACCGTGACCTGTGTTTCAAGCCTCCTGAACTTAAAAAGTTGTATTGCGTGTTAGCAGTGTCAATATCTCGATAACAATCCCCACCTCAAAGTCCTCCTTCGTGAGGTGTTCGCTTTCTGGGGTGTCATTCGGCGACTCACCCTCTTGAATGCTGTTGAACAGCCTGGCCACTGGTATGCAATGGAAACAGTTGCATCTAAGCTTAGACTCAGTGAAACAGGACATGACCTTAGATATGGATGTGATCAAATGGATCAAATGGGCCGAACAAAACAATAGGCAAAATTGGATGCTTCAACCGCCAAATCGGCCTCTAAAGAAGGACTTCACCTTGACACCATCCCTCGCCAGCCTAGTGATGCGATTCTGCACAGCTCGTTGCAGCAAGCGCCGCGCCAGCGCCAAGTTGCCCCTCTCACCCAGCTCCTGGTGGGACATGGGACCCCTACGGGTTTCCAGCTACCCAAATGTGGACCCAATGTTGGTACTAACGAGCAGGGTGAAGCACGGCAATGTTATCTTGTTGGACAATCTGAATGAGATCTGAGTAAAATATAGTAAAATGTGAGGTAAGCAAACACTCTGAGTTGCATCAAGTTCTCAGATGGCACCAGCTGGTACCGTGGCACCATGGCACCGTGCCTTGCCCTGGCCACCACCGCCATAGACCTCAATGAGGTGCTCCGCCAAGCGCGGTGCTAGCTGATCTTCAAAGGCCAGAGCACCTTGGAACATCTGAAGCTGGAAACAGCTATGGAACATCCGAGGTATAAAATCAGGGTGTTTTTTATGATATATCTATAGAATCATGTCATATACATATGAATATATACTCTAATGTAATATAATATCATATCATATCATATCCATTGATATCATAACATTAACCAAGCACGTTTTCATGTGTGCAAAAATAGCCCGTCAACTGGTGGACATACCCTCACCTCGCAGGCAATGCGGCAAAACCTCTTGCACATCTCTGGGTATCCCTACCTGATGGCAACCTACTGGCTGAGATCTCCATAAACTGCACTAGCTCCGTAGCCAAGAAGTCGGGGATCTGCACCGTGGTCGGAAAGCGTGCCTGGACAACTCGATGAGGGAATCTTTGCACAAAGAATCTTTGCAAAACTCCAAAACTTATGGGATCAAATGGGATCAGATGGGGCTCGCAAATGATGTCCCTCTTGCAGTTTGCCCATTGACAACAGAGCCTCCAGAGCTGGCTCCATCCGCGCAATCCGCGCCAAGCCCTGCAGCCAAGGTGTCAAAATCTCGCTGCCACTCCAGATTTGTGACTCCCTTAAGCAGCGATATCAGTGTGTACAAAAATGACATGTCAATCAAACCACCTTGATGCATGGTTCATTCCTAAACAATGGAATGGCAGGGTCTCATGAGGCACAAAGCATTCTAGCCTACATGGTTGGCTAGCTTGGTTTACAACTACGTAGGTCAACTAGGGTTTATTTATGTTTCAACGGGTGTATAAACCAACCTATTCTTGGAGGCGTCACAGTGTCCAAAACCGTCCGGTTTTTCCCTCCAGTGGATGAACATATCAATCTTGAACATCTACCTATCTTTGAGGGCCGGGAAGGGTCAATGTCTTTGCCATCTCCACCTATTTTTGTCTCAAAATTGTTTTATCATCATTCTGTCCGATCAAAATTGCCCTTCACGTAGCAAATACCCCATGTTCAGACACCCCCAATCATCGTTATAGTGAAATATTCCATTTATAACCTGTAGTTGTGGTATCTTCTGGTTCTTCCCACATATTCCCTCTGTATCCTCACCCCAGCCATGCTAGGCCGCCTGCTGCGTCCCCAGCACCACGAAGAGCGTGGTGCCACTCCCCGCGCCATCCACGTTGCCCAAGGCAGCCGCCAGGGCGCGCACCGCCTCCCGGCTGTCCACCAAGGCATCCACGTCCTCCGGGGAAGGTTTGTGGAAGATTCGCAGGCATATGATCTAATCACATTGATCATACTAATAGTGATAATAGTGATAATTGTGATAATATTGATAGTAGGATAATAATAACAATTATAATAATAATAGTATAACAATAGTGATAACAATAATCACAAGACTAATAATAGTAATTAATAACAATAATAACAACAATCAGTGATGATATATTCATAATATTAGCTAATATGAATAGTATCATCAACGGGTTATAGTCTTGACAAAATCTGGCAGATTCGGAGAATCCATGATGTTTTTGAAGGAATCCAGATGACCTAGACCGCACACCTTGATGGCAAGGCAGCCATGTTCTGCCGCGGCCATTCGCGCAGCAATGAGCTCAGTTGGGTCTCCCTTGTCGCCAATCTCTTGGGCATCCACCTGCACAGTGAAATCCCGGAGTAAAACTCCCTGCCGGATCAATGAGGAAGGTTCCCCCCAGATAAAAACTACTCATATAACCCATATATATATATATGTGTGTGTGTGTTTGTGTGTGCATATACAAATATATATATATATATATATTTTATGAATCTTGGGGGCAGGGGGAGTGTGAATCCAGGGTTGGCATTGCTGAGTAAGTTTAAAGGTCAGCTGAGGCTTGAGCTGGGACACTAGTTGATTCAAGTCACCCATGTCACTTCTTCCCGGCTGATGGCACCAGCTGCACGCAAGAAACATGTCGCCAGGCGCACGAACGTCTCTCGTCCGGAGCCTGAAGCATGTTGGAATTCAATCAACAACATCCCAAGATGCTTCAATCAAAACTTCAAAGTCACCAGCTGCATGAATTTCGTTTGGCACCTGGGTTGGCAGACACCCATAGTGCCCGTGGCATGTGCAGCGCCCCTTGCAAGGCACCAGCACCACCACAAGCCGCCGCGCTCCAGCCACTGCCACGTGGGGCTTGTCCAAGCTGACGCCGCAGCTGCGAGAAGAATTGCCGAGCACTGCCCACATCCTGCGTCCACTTAAAAGGGCGCTTTAATTGCAAAATATCCGATTCATATCCCATTCATATCACTATGAACATTCCACTAATAGATCACCACTAAAATCCCATTACATAAGTTTAAACTCTTAAACCAAAGAAAAGAGTGTTGTTCAACCAAACATCTGGAGTTTTGACCAATGGGCACCATGCAATTTGCTGCCCCGATGCCGTGCCTCTTCGCTGCCCCAGCCAACCAGCTGGGCAACTTCGGCCTCCACCTCCCTCATTCGACGCTCGCGCTGTTCTGCCGTGAGGACATCCTCAGCAGGCCACCCCCGACCGAACACCCTGAAGAGGGTCAAAACATGTCAAAACGTTTATGCATGTTTATGCTCATTTCCTCTGGTCAGGCAGCGTATCTTGTCTTTGAATGTCTTTGAGGTGGTGTGTCATCCGATGCCAGTGATTTTCATGCCAAAAAACTCAGCCGAACAAGAGACTCAGGGACTCACAGGGTGTGCGTTGCTCTTTCAACATCCAAAAATAGGACACATCCTGTAACTCCAGGGTGACTCATGCCAAAACCATGTTCGAAAGTTCTGAAGCCATACCCCATTTACTTGCCCCCCACTTCAGGAATGCAAATCGCAGTTTCGCAGGGTGGAAATCATCCAAATCATCCAAATCATCCCTAGTCCACGGCATCCAAAGCTTCCAGGCCAAAGTCCATAGGCGTCAGGCGAAAGCGCTCCGCTGAATCCAGACTCTCCTGCCAGGTGCGGTCGTTCTTTCGAGAGATGGCCAAGTCCTCAGCTGGTCGCTGGAAAATCCAAGGGTGACATCAAGCCTTGGACAAACCTCAGGTGTCTCATCCACAAGCCAAGTGCAGCAAGCTTGAAAGTGATGGGCAATTCATAGTGCGAGAGGGGGAAATTCGGAAATCGGGAGATCCAAATTTGAAAAATGCTTTGAAATCTTTGAAAAGTGAATTGACTCTGGTGCAAGCCATACTGGCACTCACCAACTTTTTGGCCTGCCAGCAAACCCCTGCAGCTCGTCATCTAGGACTGGCCAGGAAAAGAGGGAATTAGAATTTCAAGGCCATCTGAGCTTTCCAAGCCGCGTCCCAGTTGTGGAACACGGGACATATTGGCATCCTCAGCCTTCATGCCCTTCCGCACGAATTTCACATAGCTCTCATTGGCCTCTGCCGTCAGAAAACGTCGATCATCCAGGTGCAACGCCAGCTCCAATCTCTTTTGTCTCTCCTGATTGCTGCGGACGGTTTCATCTTCCTCACCCTGGTTGGGTTGGTCACCGGCATCATCTCTGGCAGCTGCCTCCATCTTGGCCACCTTCACCTCGCGCTCGATCTGGGAAATGGACCGCTTCCGACCCAGAACAGCTGCGGCCTTGGCATTTGCACCACCCATGGCCACACGTACCGATTTCGTGGCATAAATTTCATCCAGGTGCCTGCGACAATATGCCTCCCGCTGCAGAAGATTGCAGGGAAGCTTACAGCCTTTCTTCTTGCAGGAGCCCAGGGTTGGACATTCACCCAGTTTCTCAATGGTCAAGGGGTTTTCTACCAGCAACAAGGTCTCCTTGCCGTCCCGCCCCCATTTATTGTCGAACTCAATCAAGTGCGGATTGAGGATGGCCATGATGGCGCCTCTGGATGCCTTCTTGGCATGCTCGGCCCTGCGCCAGTGTACGCAGGCCTGCCATCTCAAATGCCTCATGGCGCTGGGAGCTTCACGGATGCTACAACCAGTACAGAGATGAAGGAGATCGGGAAACCAATCTACGGCAACTATACATATTATACAAATGTGGGAGAATGTGATCATTCCTTCCAGACCTCAAAACATAACTGTTCATCAAATACAACTCTCTCTGAAATGTGAATGTTTCGAACCGCATTCAAGTCGTTTTAGCATCAAAGGATGCCTCAGCCCTTTCGAATTGCCGGTTTCACGGATGACTTTGGGTGCCGAGTGGCACAGTGATGTTCCGTGGCTCCGGCTGTGCAAGATCCGTCAATCGCCACTTGAGGAACTGTTCACCGTTGTGCAGCCTCTCGTTGCTGGAGTTGAAGAACAGCACCTCATTTGCCGAACATCAAAAGTGGATATGGCGGGTGAATGTGGGTGACATCTTTCATTGACGCTCCAGGGGAAAAATCTATGTGGTCTGAAAATGGTTGAAGAGCTTCTCGAAACACAATCAGTTCTCCAAAATTCTGCAAACTAAAATTGGTACCTTTTTCTCTTTCCAAAAGTCAGCCGTATTCTGAACACTCATTGGTCTTGAGTTTGTATGGAAAAAGCTGCTCCTCAAGTGCCAAGGGACTCCAATGACAATGTTGTCCTGGGCGGGGGTTCTATGAGGAGAATTGCATGCATTAGCCCAGGAGGGTCCTTTTTGTGCCCAGGTAATGTGGATGATATACTCAGATACTCCATTGGCATGCAGCACAAACACCAATACCGAGCACTCGAAAAACCAAAGCCAAGGCTCCTTTGTCTGTCCCACCCTGGAACGGCAATGGAGCCCAAGGTGTGGAAAGGCCACGAAACGTCGAGACTTTCCCGTCACTTCTTCTTCCCACTTTTCAGCAGGCATGGTGCGTTTCTCAATTGGCAGCTTCGAAAAACGCTCCACGTCCAGCTCCTCCTTGGCAGGATCAGCAGACGCGCAGACTTCAGGAGCCTCTGCAGAAGCTTTTGCCGGGCTGGGAACCGTGGACACGTCTGCTACCGTCCTTAGCGACCAGTGTCAATGACAGCAATCAGGATTAATCAGGTTTGCAAAGCCCTACAAGAACGATGGGAATGGAGCTTTACCCCCCTCAATCTTGGAATTTTGATTACCTCCATCTGTGATCCATCCTGTTGCTGATGCAAGAGCCAAACTAATCTTCTCCGAGCATCTCTGATTGTGCGGGCTCCGGCTCCGTAGCAACGACCTTTTCGGTACTTGGCTCACTGGCCATTGCGCAAGCCCCCACAATGACCACACCCTGAGCCTCACCTAACAGCTTCCCTTGAGCCATCAACACCACGAGAATGTCCTTTGAATTTGATACCTGAAATGAAAATCCACACCCCAGAATTCCTCACTCAATCCCCCAGTTTAGCCTGGTTTCAAGGACATCTCGGGCCAGGTGCCCATTCTTTTCGCGGATCAACTTCTCATCGAAGCGTTGTGCCACAATGTGCTCTAACACGGTGATGAGTTGCCGCGTTCCCACGTCTCCTTCACCTGTTGCTGGGCGCACCGTTCAACCAAGGGAGAGCACTTTTAGGGGGTTACTCTCCGAACAAAAGTCAGCTAGAGTTGACGCATCTTTTTTTCACCAAGTCAGGCACGAAATCATTGAAAAGGTTTGACCTTTGGATCTGCCAAAGTGCTTCAAGCTTGGCATTTCATGATATTTCCACACGTCAAGGGCGCCTACGCCCTCATAGCCCCGTTTCTCCACTTCCATTGCGATGAGGTTGGCCACATCGTTGACGCTCAGCGTGGGCAACGTCAACAGATCGGGCTGACGGCGCCGGAAGGCTGAGAGCTGCCTAGGCACGATGGTCAAGGAAAAAAATCTGAAGGCCATGGGTGACCATGATAATGATTAATCATTTCCTTGTGTCTGATAATCATAATGTTATTTGATGTGATTAGTGTGGTTTCTAGTTCTTACTAATATAATATTTACCTAGCATCCTTAATCATCATAGCCTAGATGCCTAGCTGATATGTGCGTGTGTGTGTGTGTGCGTGGGCATTCTCACTATCATGATCATTGTCACTATCACGATGGTGTTAGTGCTGGTGTTGGCCTGACCTCCAAATGACAGTCATGCAACAAAACATCAGTCCGTACAATGAGGAAAACAACTAAAAATGTTTCAAAAAATGGTTGGGTGTCAAGATGCATATTGGCCTCAACCACTTCTGGTGGCCCAGCCATGATGACAACGCTTCCCACATCTAGCACCTGCTGGTAGAAGACCAGGCTCAAAAATGGTGAGGCACGGTCAAGGATGTCACGACACTCTGATCAAAACAAACACAAGATACGCATTTGCCCTGCATTGATCTTCCGTAAGTTGCCGGATCGCGCAAATGGCGCATTTAAAAAACGCTTTTTTGCATAAAACCCCTTCATCTAAGAGTAGGATGTCCCTGCTCCCTTCTTGAAGCAACAGAATTGAGGCCAAAGTCTTCTACGAGTAGTTGCTTGTGGCAGGGGGGTTGTCATGTCCATCATGTTCCATCATGGCCATGGCCATGGCCACTATCGGCCTGTTCCAGGATTTCAGCATCCTGTTCGGTCAGAGCACCACCCAAGCGCATGTAGAAGCAACTGCGATCAGCCACTCTCAGCTTCCCAGTTTTTGGGTCTAGCCTTGGTTGGCGTCGGTTCCAAACCCTCAAAAGTGGAAGTACATGTGCTCCCATACATCTGGTGAAAGCAAATGTTAAATGTAGACAAGAGTAAAAAGAACCTTCCAACCAAGGAGCAAGTCCTTCAGCTCTGTGATGGTGTTCAACAAATCTTGCTCAGCCACCAATTCATCAGCGCGATAGTTGCCTGCAATGAAGCTTGGATATCCAAGTATGGGGCAAACATGGGGGAGCAATGGCAAAAAAAAAATAAGAAAAGTAGTCATGCATTCAACCATCCACTTTTGGGTCTCCATGATTCTCAGCCATACCCACCAAGCTATAAAGCTATCTATCCGAGATCACCTCACCATCCTATACCATTCTCCTCACAACTTTGCCAGTCCAAAACTCTGCATTGCAGAAGATCGGTCACATGACAAAACCTGAAATCTACGAGACTACAAGACCTTTAGCACCTATGAAAGCATACATGGACAAGGCCTGTACTCAGCATCGACATCATGGGCATCCTTGTGCCCAACTCTGGCCTACGCGGCCAGATGGGCCCTTGACTTTCAAAGGCTCCGGGGAGCCATGCGGCATCTCCTCCGTGACGATGCCCACGTCATTCTTACTGAGCAATGCACCTTCACAGCAACCCCAAGCTGTGGTCAAGCAACCAACTGATAGGATATTTATGATATTTGGCGCGTCCTTACGTCCCAAAGAATTTCCATCCTAAGAACTATCAACTGTGGTAGCTGGAAATTGGATTTCGTTTTGCGGTAGCACCTCGATTCTTGGGATCCTGCCAGGCTGCCAATCGAACCTTGCTGCCAACACGTACCTGGGCCTTAGCACCATCAAGTCTGATCTGTTGGTGCTCGCTGACACTTAATGCGATCATATTGTGTCAGTTGAGGCCTAGTGCACATCTGACTAATTAACTCCCAAAGTGCCCATGCACAAAATGAAATTCGACTGGGTATCTAATTCGAAAATACCAAAATTGACCCAAATGCGTTTAGCTATGTGCAGTGATTCAGAACTGGGCACCCAAGCCACTAGCTGGTTGTTGAGCAACCCAAAGAGCCGCCCGATCAGTTCAGCCGCTACATGTTTCCCAACTCCAAAGGCACCACTGATCAGCACATGCCGTCGAGGTTGCTTGCCTGGAACAGTGCTGGAACAGTGGAAGAAAGAAGTCTCTCCTAGTCTCTACTAGCCAAAGACACAAGAGTAGGATCTTGCAAGATCTGCTGCAAAAAAAAATCACCTCACTCTCGTTGCACCTAGTTGTAGGGAAGTGTCTGTCCAGTCCCACTAGCAGCAACGCCACCTTCCTTGAGCACGTGTCTCCCAGCGGCATCCCGCAAGCGCTGTACAATGAACTCCTGCACAAAGCGGTTCAGGGTCTGGAGGTGTGAGATGACCATGTTGATAGCGTGTGCACCGTTTTGGATAGGAGGAATCAACCGCAAACGGAGTTGGATGGCGCTGACAGCAATGAGTCACTTCAAAGTCCTTGACTGGCTGCAGCCCCACAGCACGATCTAGATCTGCCTTCATCCTCAAACTCTCAGTCTCTCGGCACTTGTTTCTTATGAGGGAGGGAAACCATCCATCCTATCATCCAAATGCAAAACGTACTCTGTCCTGGTCCGCACATGGTGATGCTGATGCCCAGTTTTTAGTTGCCTTGATGCCCCAGGGTTGGTCATACTTGGCCCTGCCTGCAGTAGAACTCCTGCTCGCCAGTCTGCCACAACAGCAGGGCAGCCAAGCGATCAGTCTCTGGACCTGCCCACGGGACGCTGCTCTGCGGGACTGTGGGACACATCGGTGATTCAAAATTGGAGGATGCAAAATTGCAACCAATGGTTTCCCTACAAAACATATTCGTTTGAACCCTTGGAGGTGGAAACACTCACTTGGATAAGCTACTGAGGCCGAAACTTTCCCGCACTCTCTGCACCTGTCGACATGCAGATGGTTGCTTTGTCTGCAGAATGCTCACAGCATCTCCACCTCGTTGTACTCCCGAAGTTCTCGGGCTTTGGTGAGCGCTAGTTTCTTCCTGGGAGTACGGTCATGTAGGAAAGCGATTCAAGGACCAGAGCTGCCTAAAACAGGAAGTCACACAAGGAGCCCTTGGACTAGGAGCCATGGTTGTAGCCCAGGTGCCTTGAGGGGTACGCTAGAAGAGGGTCTCACTGCAATTCCGCCCTCCGTTGACCATCTACAGGAATTCAGCTCAGAACTACTAAACATGTGGTCCCCAACCACGGACTCACAAGTAGCAATAACCACCTTCTCATTCTCATTTGGGCTATCACTAGGTGCTCCATACAACCCACCAGAACTCTGCCAAGGGTCTCTTCTATGCTGCGCCACAAGAACTTCAGCTTGTGCTCGTCGCTATATCTGACGGAGCTGCTTGCACCTGTGTCATGCATCATTTTGGCGTGGCTTGTCTGCAATTTGTACATGGTTGGTGCGTAGCACGTAGCTTTTAAGCATGATTTTGTAACTTATAATGTGTATTAATTTGATTTAATTTCAAACAACAAAAAATGATGAGGGAAACCCAATTCCAAGCCCCTATTCTTGGGTATGGCTTATGATGTTAGTAAGTTAGTACTATACTGCCTTCTAATTGTCCAAATTGGGTCAGCTGGGTATGCTTCCAGCGCCTGCTGGCTTCGGCGCAGTGGGAGGCGTCGGGGCAGGCTGTGCCGGCTGCGCGGGTTGCGGCGGCCGCACCGGCGGTTGCACGGGCTGCACAGGCTGCACTGCTGGGGGCCTTGGCACAGAGATTCGAGTGCTAATGCCGCGGCCAAACCAAGAAAGTCCTGCAAAAACTTTATGACTTGGGGCTCTTTCCTGATCGGAAAAACCAACAGCTGCAAGAATAAATTAAATAAATTATGTACAACATTGTGCAACTGTACATCTTTGTGAAAGTCTTTGACAGCTACCCTTGGCCTTTGAAGTCCCATCTCTACTCAACCTGTCTATGCATTTTGGCCCCCAGCTCTGCTGGACCTGGCTGCGTGTCCATGTGGCTGCCAATCCAAAAATCACAAAGACGATAGCAACCCAAAGTCCCAAGACGAATCGCTGTTTCAATTCCAACTTCGAAGCAGGATTTCAGTGTCAAGATGACTGCAGTTCCAGATGGAAAGCTAAAGCTATGCTAAAGCTATGCTAAAGCTATGCTAAAGCTAGCCAGTTGCAAACCGATCATCTTTAGACCCATTTTACCCCCATTTCAAGACATGCGCCTGGCGCATAGGCAGGATCCTCACCACCTGTGGAGCTGTGGCATCTGCACGGCTTGATTTGGGTCACTTCTGCATGAAATCAACACGTCTTGGAATGGAATTGATTAGAATTGCCCTGTAGCAGCCACATATTATCATCATTCGGGTGTTCAACTGGGTGTCACAAAATATGATCGATCAGCCAACCTAGAAATGTGCGATCTTTGTCAAATGGCAATAAACACAACGGTCACCTGGGGGCAAGGATGGTGTTGCCACACGTGGCGAGGATGGCTTGACGGCAGGTGCTGCAGGCGCCTCAACATCAAAAGGGCTGAGCCGACCGCCGGGGTGATTTTTGCCACTTGTAACTTCCAATGGCGTTGAGATATGGCATGCTCATGTCATAGTCGTCTCAGGTCAACGGTCCTCGTTCACGCTCAGAAAGATTTCCTGCCGCCAAGCACAAGCATCTCGACTTCAAAACGGAGCTGCGAAGATCGACCACTTCGCCCGTCCTGGCCATTTCTCACGCCCAGGGCCTCGAGGCTAGGAAACGCCTCCATGGAAGAAAATGAGTTGTAGGCTGGTAAGGCCTGAGTGCGGGGGTGAGCCGAGTATCTGAGCATTGCGGGTTTCAAGAATCTGCAGTCCACTAGAAACGCTTAGAATTTGGGGACTCTGGGGACTTGAAGGGCTGATGAAAATCCGCCCACACCGCTTTGGCGGTGAAGGCGTGCTTATTGGGGGGCAACAGCAACACTAAATGCTCAATGACATTTGTTAATATAGCAGTCGCTATATCAGCTTTAGCTGGGGGGGGGGCCCAAAAACGGTTTCGCACCGAGACCAGAATACGGTGGTGTTTTCGACATTTTTCGAGGATTTTTGGGTGTCTGAGCGCAAGAGGGTATTGAAATGGAATTTTGGGTCATTTTGGTAGCTTTCCGGCAATGGAAAAACGGCCAAAAATGAAAAAAAACATTGTACATAGCAAGATTTTGCAGGGTTTTTGGATGCCAGAGCATTGAAAACACTGCAAAAACAAGTGTTTTGGACTGACGTTATAGCAAAAAACGTGTAAATTACCGTATGCTTGACTGGAAACATTACAAAAACACTGTCAAAAGCAATGTTTTGGAAGGATTTACTGCCTTTATGGCAAAAAAACGTGTAAATTACCGTCTGTTTGACTGGAAACATTGGAAAAACACTGTCAAAAACAATGTTTTGGAAGGATTTCTTATATATATGTTGGAGTTGGCTACCGGCATTGGCACATGGAAAAATTGAAGAAAACACTGTAAATAGCGGTATTTTCAACGGTTGGGGAGATAAGGGAATTGGAAGCATTGTCGAACATGATGTTTTCGACCGGTTTTATGGCGACAAAAGTGTAAAGTACCGTGCTTTGAAGGAAACCATTGCAAAAACATGGAAACACATTCAAAGAACACGGGATTTGGGGGACTATCTAGGCGTCGTTGTCTAGCTATTTGAAATTCCGCAGCTTGGAGAGCCTCCAAGGGAGGGAAAAGTGAAAATTCCATAGCTTGGGAAGCTGTCACGGCGGGGAAAAGTGAAAATTCCCTAGCTTGGGAAGCCCCCACGGGGGGGAAAAGTGAAAATTCCCTAGCTTGGGGAGCCCCCACGGGGGGGAAAAGTGAAAATTCCCTAGCTTGGGGAGCCCCCACGGGGGGGAAAAGTGAAAATTCCCTAGCTTGGGGAGCCCCCACGGGGGGGAAA